AAAGACTCTCTGTTATTGCAGATTCAACCAAACTCTCCAATTTGCCAGCAACGGTTTATATTCTTTTAGAGTTGGATTGATTTATTATAAGTCTACTCCACATGGTTTGGGTTTATACCTTAAGCATTCAATTGTTCAAAAGAGTTGATGATTCTTCCATTTAATAGTAGTTATGATGGCGTGCAAGATTCATATGAGCAAATGAACCACCAATAAAAACGAACCGCCGCCCCACTTCCGCTTGCATTACTCTTCTTAATATTCCAGACAGAATAAAAAAATATTAAACACTTAAATATCTCTCGCACATAATTAATTAAAAAAAAATAAAAAACCGAAGAAAGAAGGAGATTTGATGCAAAACTTCACGTTAAAACCATGTTCTGTTATTTGATAATGGAATATCTATCAACTCACGCTATGATATCGTTAATTTTAACAAAGTCTTTTAAAAACAAAACAATTCAAGTAATAATAAAACTATTAAAATAATTAAATTCTTAATAAATTAAAGATATTTTAAATCAATTAAAACTCTAATAAAAATAAATAAATAATGAAATAAGAAAGTAGGAGGAGTACCCACTTCAGAAACAAATAAAAACACCTCAAATCGACTGCCCTGGCTCCCTCCCTCTCTCTTTCTGCAAAACATCAACATACATATCTGTAACGCACCTAAAGTCGTCTAGATACTTGAATCTGTGAATGATATATATGTATATATATTATGTATACATCAATGTTCAGTAGCAGAGGGAGAGGGAGAAGACTCAGCTACCTGTTCGCTCTGAAGAAGACTGAGCTGGTCGCCTCTGTTCATCGCCTGAGCTGCCTGTTCGTTCTGAAGAAGACTCAGTGAGGTGAGAATTGATTTAGGAAAAAATAGCCCAAAAATGGTTATACATGTTTATATGAATTGAAATTCCAATCCTCTGGTTTTCACAAACTGTCAAGTTCACTGATTTTTTTGAAAAATTGGCAGGTTTAGCGTTTTTCAAACAGTTTGATTGTATATACGGTCTAACTCAAGAACCGGACCAGTAAGAGAGAGTAATGGGGAGGGGAGGGTATTGGTACAGGGAAGTGCTGCCATTTGTAGCGGTGATTATATCACTGTCCTCCAACGTCGGCGTAACCACAGCGTTCAAAGCAGCAGCATCTCAAGGAATTAGCTATCGCGTCTTCATGGTTTACGCTCATTCTCTAGCTGGTCTGGTTCTCCTTCCTTTCGCCTTCATCTTCGAAAGGTCCGCTTCTATATATATATATACACACACTAGTAACTCCTTCACAATTTTGTTTTATTAGAACAACAACTAACATATTAGTATCTATCTCTGTATGTTCCATTCTATAAAATTTCCAGAAAGAAGAGACTTCCTCCGCTCAACTTCTCTTTCATCAGTAGAATTTTCCTCCTTGGGCTTATTGGGTATAGAAAATATCAAGCATTCTAAATTTCTAATTAATACTGTTAATTATTCTTATATATATAGTGGTTTGGATTCAGAATATGGGTCATCTTCTTGTGTGTTTATTTCTGGGTTTTGCAGGTTTTTAGGTCATGTGTTGGGGTATATGGGTTTAGAGTACAGTACTCCGACTGTTTCTTCAATCATCAGTAATCTCACACCAGCGTTTACCTTTGCACTTGCCATTATTTTCAGGTTCCTCCTATTTGTTAGTAGTATTTTTTTTTCTTGACTTTCATGTTTTGCTTGTTAATTTGGTTGAGTAATCAAATAAATAGTGTTGGCAACTTGGCATTTAATAAGAAAAGGATGGGATTATTCCCACTCCACAGGAAACTATTAATTAGTTCCACTCATACATACATACATACATACATACACCCCACCCGCAGTGGAGGGAATACATTTACTTATATATATTTTGTATATTTTTTTTTGAACATTCTTAAATTGGATCCACCCTAAAAATTTAGAATAAATAAAACTTATCCTCGTTGAATTGTTACACAATATTAACATGGTCTAACCGGAAAACCCAATATTTACTCCTCCGCCTCACTCTTTGGATAAATTATTATGAGTGTAGCCATTATACAGAATGTCACATAATATAATGGTCCATTAATTGATAAACAAGTTAGTAAATTGATTTCACTAACCATCCAATCATATATTCCCACTATTCTTAAATATCTATCGTTTTACACAATTTTTTTTGTTCCATAATATTTGTCGTTTTATGAAATCAAAACATAATTAATATTTTTTTCCAAATTTACCCTTATCTCTGTTTTTCAATACGTGCTTAATAAATTAAGTGTAGGTTGAGTGTCTTGCACATTCCTTTCCTTCCCAATACGTATTAAATGAGGGTATTTTAATCTTGTGCAATTATTTTTTACTCATATTAGAGTTATTTAATAGCTTCCTTAATTCCTGTGCAAAAACTTTAAACGACAGATATTTAGGAATTGAGGGAATAATATACAACCACTTCCATAATAAGAAGTGAGTCCTATTTTATTGTTTTGTTTCTTTTTTATTGATTGGGTATGTTGATATTGTGTAACGGTTATATTTAATATTTTCTCCACCATTTATTATCAGAGTATGTCTACGATTTGTTTTTTGAATAATATTACATAAATTTTAAAAAAAAATTGATAATAACAACTATTGAATAAAAAACATATCTAATAAACTACTACACCTCAAAGCATCTCCAAGAGATGCTGTAAAACACAAAAATAGCTAAAATTTAGCTAATCAAAGAAAAAAAATCATACTTCAACAGAATATGTTCAGATATTGTAAAATAAATTTTTGCTACTGTGATACTCTAAATATAGTGTATCACTGTAGAAATATATAAAATTTGTTTATAATATTTTTTTTCTCGTCATTTTCTCTCTTTTATTTTATCAATTCCTCTCTTTCACTACTCTCAAAAAAAAATAATATAAAATAAATGAAAAATAATTTTTAAAATTTTCTGTTAAAATGTGTATTAAAAAATAATTAGTTAAAATAAAAAATGTTACTTATTGAATAATTAAAATAGATTTTATCGTTAGAGATGCACTCGTAATAAATTCAACGACAATGATTCTTCTTCCCCATCCACAACAGGTTTCTGCCGGCCCTAACCAGCTAAAACCCCTTTCCCCTACCCACATCCTCTCCCTATATTTCTTCCCCCACCGAGATGGAGCTCTCAAATTCGTCCTCTACCACCTCCGTTTCTTTTTGTTTCCCCCTCTTTTCTAGTTTATACCATCCCTACCGCCACACAAATAATCCTAAATCCCCTTTGTTTCTGCACAATCATAGACCCATACGTTCATACCCCCCAAGGTGTAAGTAACGACGAATTTTGGTGGGTAATTTCACAAAGTCAATCGGGTAGTAATAAGAGATTTTCTTAGAATTGAATGGAATGAGTACTTCCTCTCCATAACCCAACAGCTCCTCTGTATTTCCATCTATATCACCAAATTGGGTTAATGAATGATGGAATAAGATTGGTGGTGTTGAGAATTAGCGTTGAATTGACTTGAATCGTGTTTATTATTTTGTATGTTGAATTGAATTGGGTGGATTGTTACTGTCAGTGTGGTTGGTGGAGATGCAATGGCGTTGGAATTGAGAAAGAAGCAGAGAGAGCAAATTAAAGATAGAAAAGAGAGTGGAAAGAGCTGGTTTGAGCAAGGGAGGCACAGAGAGCTAATCGTAGAGAGAGAGAAAGCGAGCAAAGAGTCTGTGACGTGAGCTTTGGCGTGTGTGTGAGTGTGAGAGAGAAAAAAGAAACGAGGAAGAAGAAGGGTGTTTGGGTACATGTGTATTTGTGCAGATGAAGAGCGATGGTGTTTGGGTGTAAGGTTTTTGGCAAAAATACCCATGGACAACTCCTATTTTGTATTCCTCTCTCTCTCTCTCTCATGGAAGTATTCTGTCCCTTCTTTGTCTCTGTTTTTCTCTCTTTTTCCACCCATGTGCGAATATCTTGCTCGAAATTGAATTTTGAATGTTAGGGCTTCATCTAGATTGAACATCTCATCAGGACTCTGCATGGAACTCAGGTAGGATATGATTTAAGATTTTGTTTTTGCTGACTAATTGCTTGGAATTATTGATCAAATTAGATGAAATTGAACATAAATAGTTGGAGTCGAATCACCAGTTGATTAAATTTTGCCGGATTATCTGACCCGGTGATCCTTTACAAATGGATTCGGAAATAGATGTCATTTTAATATCGACTGTTTTACGGATCAATTATATATATAGAATATATTGTGTGTGTATGAGTGGGATGTGTATAAATATATGATGAAAAATGTTAAATAAGGGCATCTTTAACCTTTACTCAAATTTAAAAAATCTAAGAAACTTGTTCCAACCCTCGATTCAAATTTATACCAAATCAAAAAAACTCATTTTTTTACGCAAATTAAGGGAGACTTAAATCTTTAATGGTGATATTTCACCATCTTTTAAAGATTCAATGGTCATCCTTACTAAGATCCAATGGTCATCATTACTCCCTTTTAAATTTGGGTTTACCTCATTTAAATTTGAGTTTCTCTTTCTTTAAATTTGAGTTTGTCCATTAGAGTCTTTTACATCAAATCAAATTTTTTACTCAAATATTAATTTAAATTTGAATCATGATTGGAGATGCTCTAACCCAAATTGAATTAAAAAATTACGATCTAAATGTATATCATTCTATGGAAGAGTAATGTCGGATTCATTTTTTAAGTTTAAAAAATTATGAAAACTAAATTGCATAACTGAATAAGTGATCAATGTCTAATAGTTTGATTGGTCTACAGACTAATTGCATAAAGTCTATAGTATCTTTTATGCAGTTAATTTCATTTATTGTGAAAGTTTGTAATTAGTCTTTTTTTTTTTATAATTTCTATATGCTATACTCACCTGTGTTTGACTCTTTTCGGGGAGAATTATGTTACCTAACTAACAACCCTTTTTTTTTTTATCTTGAATTTGTGCCCTACCAGAATGGAAAAGGTAAAATTAAAGAGCTTTAGCAGTCAGGCTAAAATTGCGGGCAGCATCGTATCTATATCAGGAGCAATTGTGGTGATTCTGTACAAGGGCCCAACTATATTGAACAATTCATCACCATCCAAATTGTTTTATCAATTGGGGTCATTGCAATCAGATTGGATTATTGGTGGTATTCTTTTTGCTGTTGCGTATCTATTAGTCTCTATGTGGTACATTGCTCAGGTATAATTGTCTTGTTCTCTTTTCTTTTTTCATTCTTCTTATGCTAGATAGAGTATCTAAATTTTTTTAAATACACATTGATAAGTCTATTTGGCTCGATTTTCACTCGTTCAAAGTACAAAAACATAAATAATTTATTAAAACCTGATAAGTTCGGCTCAGTTAACACTTTTACGCTCGGAGAACTAAAGAATTGAATCTACACATGTTACAGACTGAAGCAATCAAGAAATATCCAGCAGAACAACTTGTAGCGTCTCTGTACAACTTAGTCGTGGCCACCATAGCTCTCCCGGTTGCTTATATTTTTGAACCAGACGTTAGTACATGGGAAATAAATTCAGGAATAATGGTGATGGCCATTTTAATTGCAGTAAGAGCCTGAAGTTCACTATTTCAAATTTAATAGTGTTGTTAGAAATAGGTTGTTTTGCAGTTAATTAGTTGGAAACTATTTAATAATTTTTTTTGGATAAATAATATTATTTCCTGTTATAGGGACTAGTTGCATTTTCCTTTGCTACCGCCATGCTCACATGGAGCCTGCGTGTGAAAGGGGCCGTCTATGTAGCACTATTCGCGCCAATGTCAATTGTCACTGCTGCAATTATGGGTGTGATTTTGCTAGGTGATTCTCTCTATATCGGAAGGTAAGAGTAAACTCTCACATCTTATCTTCTAAGATATATAAGGAATACTATTCTATCTGTGCTGACAATTTACTACAAAATAAAGGTGAGATTACGACAAAATGGGAACGATCATAACTTTGTTAGCAGCTGTTTAATCATTTAGTCTTGCCATATGATCAATTTTATAATTATCAATATTTTTTGACAATCTTACCTGATTTGCCTACTTGCTTGTTGTGGATTTACATGGTTTCTCTAATTTTCTTTGTTGCAGTGTTGTTGGTGCGTTAATAGTATCCTTTGGATTTTATGTGAGCTTGTGGGGAAAAGCAAAAGAAGAAACAATGGATTTGGGAGTTAGTAGTAACTTGGAATCACAATGTCCAGAAAATGTTCCTCTATTGCAGTGACACGTACGTAAAGAAAACAAACATCGTAATTGTGAAATGATTGTACAAGAAACACATTGTTTCTTGTTACATTCTGCAATTGTAAGACAGTTTGTCCATGTTGAAAAGATTACACATTTATTGTATTTATGAAATGAACAAAATATTCCCGGAAATTTATGTATCCCGTCAATATAATATAATTCAAGTATTATTTCTGGAAACTCTATATGTGATCAATTATTTCTGAATTTAAGCCAATTTTTTTTATCATGTTAAGTAGATTTTAAAAAGCGAGATGTTTTGATTTGTTGTAGTCTTTATGTATATTAATCTTTCACTGATAAATATTCAATGCAACGTTTATAACACGGGTATCACCGTCATATACAAGGTGGTATCGACTAATAATAAAAAATAAATAAATAGGACAAGTGTAATATTATATAAAAGTTTTGAATATGTGAAAGTTATTGGCGGTTTTATAATTTAGTTGAGTTTATTAATTTTATATGATTATTCATAATTAGTAGGTTTCACCGTGTGATAATAGTGATATGGTGTAATCGTTATATTGAATTATTTTTCATGTTCTTCATATCAAAAATTGGCTTGATTTAGATTTGGGCAAAGATAATGGTATTAAAAAATTATTTTTATATTTTTGCAAAATTTATAATAAGGTTTATAATTTTTTTAGTCAAATTACAATAAAATGAAGTTGGTGCCATTGATCTTAATGTTTTAGGATCCTTATATTTTTGGATTAATCTTAATTTTTTATTACTTAACTTCAACAAACAACAATTTTTATTTGACAACTTAATTTGAGGATTTAATAATATGATTTTAATGTAATTATTGGATTAATTATGAGTTCTAATGTTAGATAGAGTCTATTATCGATCCAATAATTGTATTGAATTAATCATTCAAATTAAGTCTAAATTAATACATATGTCGGACAATGACATTCCATAAAACCATAAGCACACCCCCTAAGGCCACAATTCCATTTCATAAACTAATGTGTTTGGTACGTAGGAATGGACTTTGGGAATGGAACGAGCATTATCAAGTAATTCACATTTTGTAGTTTGGTTGATGGTAATGAAATTTGATTCCCATTCTTATGGAATGATAAATCCCATAAGCCAAGTGATTAACCATTGCCCCACCAACAAGTAGTTCATATATTTTTTTGGATGTCACTGAAAAAAATCTGACTAATTTTTTAATATAATTAGTAATTTATTATTATATTAATTTTATTTAAAAGGATAAAAGGGTGATAAACGAGATGATAGGTCCCACCCGAACACAACCCGTTTATTAAATGTGTTTGACGGGTCAACCCGTTTACCACCCAAACTCGTTAAAGTCTCACCTAAACTCGTTTAATTCGTGTTAGTCAATTATGTTGTGTCGGATTTTGACATACTCAATCTTGAGTTCTCAAACCCGACGCATAGTTAGCCTGAATATTAAACTCATGATAATAGGTTTGTCAAACCTAGGGAATGGATTCGAGAAGATGAATTAAAGGATAAAGGATATAAAAGACAATTATACCCCTTAATATAAGTATGAATTAAATTGATCAACGTTAAAATAGTCATTTATTGAACAAACAGTAGTGAATAATTATGATATATTTGTGGGTCCTATATGTGTACGTGTGTTGCACACCAAACATATGTATGAACCGAATTCAATATTGAATCACATCTTTGTAAAGAAAGATTTGAGTTTGAAGAATTTGAGGAAGTCAATCCAAATCCCCCAAAAATTGATTCAAACAAGCCTCTTGTGTATTCCTCTTTTTGTTTTCTCTTTGCTCTCTCTCCTCTCTCTCTCTCCCTCTCTCTCTCTCTCTCTCTCTCTCTCTCTCTCTCTCTGCATGTCTATGTTTCAATTTTGCTTTCTCCTGCTGTTCATATTTGTATCAATTAGTATTGTCCATACCTAAATAAATATGAATTTGTGGATAATTTATGGATAGATCTAGATATGTTTTTGTCATGTATGATTTATGTATTAAGTTATAGAAATTATGAAAATTAGATTGCACAACAGAATTAGTGATCAATAACTAATAATTTGATTAGTTATATAAAGAAAGATTGTAGTATCTTTTATGTAATTAGCTCCATTTATTTTGAAGGGTTGTAATTACTTTTTTAGAAAATTTCATCAACACCCCCTTTAGTTAGGCATAAATTCAAAGGCACCCTTTACCTATTTTGAATCTTCACTGCACTCCCTTCTGGTTTACACTTTTAAATCAAAAACCCCTACACCGTAAAGTTTAACAGTGACGATGAATAAAGGAACGGTTTGTCTTCAATTTTTTTGAAAATGTCCAAACTACCCCTCCTTATATAAATGTACTAAAATAACCTCAACCCTTTCCCTATATATATATACACCTCGTGAGGTTGGCTGGAAGTTATTATTCATATTGATCACTGATCGTTTACTACAAAAGTTGGTAAATATTTTTTGTCTTACAGATTTGTAAATATTTTTTATACAAATTTTTTTAAAAATTTTTAGTCAGTTAATTTTTTAATTTTTTTATGCAGATATTTTAAATTTTTCATGCAATTTTTTTTAATATTTGTTCATGCATTTTTTTAGTTAATTTTTTTTCATGCAGTTAGTTTTAATTTAGGATCAACAGGCAGATCAAACAAATTCCTACATAAAATGGACAGACCAAATTATTTGAAGAAAACATCCTAACCCTTTTTGCTTCCGGTGCACCATTGTCTCCACAAAACCACCACCATTTCGGCACCACCATAGACCAGCTAAAACAAATACACAACATGCAGCAACAACCACTCAATCCAACAAATTCATCAAACAAGCAAGCAAATTAGGGACAAACCAGCTAGTTGTTTTCACACATCACTCCCACCCATTTATACAATGCCGAGAGAGAGAGAGTTTAGCATCTACCCATCCCCACAACCCATGCCCAAAACCCACATGACATCAAAGACTCCCACAACGTGCACCCACACACACCGTTGACTACCAATTTTCACATACCCACCACAAACCTTGCATCAACACCCATTACAAAACTCCTAAATCAATTTGATCTTTTTTTGCTCCTATCTCAACACAGTTTTAAAGGGTTTGCTAGAAAGAGAGAGAGAGAGATCAACCTTCACTCATCCCCACACCCATGCCCAATTTGTCCCAACTACTCCCACAACGTGCACGCACATGCACCATTAACTACCAAATTTCACATGTCCACCACCACCATAACCTTTGCATAAACACCCATTATAAAACCCTCAATTCAATTTGACATTTTTTGCTCCTATCTCAAAACGGTTTTGCTAGAGAGAGAGAAGAATAGAGAGAGAGGGGGAAAATGTGAGGAGGGTGTCGGATGACGCTACGGATGGATAACTGTGGTAGAGGAGATTAGAATGGGTAAGGAATGGTGGTGAAGGGTGACTTCTCTATTTATATATATAAACAACATAAAGTTAAGGCTAAAATAGTAAAAGAAACATAAAGTTAAGGGTAAAATGATAAAAGACATTTTTTCGTCACGTCTGTTACCCAACCAAGACTGACAAGGGGGTCAGTGAAATTTCAGAATCGAGAAAGGGTGTAAATGAAATTTTCTCTTATTTTTTTTATTTTTTTATTTTTATATGCTATATTTATTGGCGTTTGATTCATTTTTATATTTTATAAATTTTTAAATATCAAATACAATGCAGTAAAAATTAAAATTTTTAAGTAAAAGTCCCACCCCTAAACTGAATTTTTACGTTACCTACAAACCTTTAGCCAGGTCAAAATTGCAGGCAGCATCGTACCTATACCAGGAGCAATTGTGGTGGTTCTGTACAAGGGCCAAACTATAATAAAGAGCTATTAAACAACTCAAGGATTCCCCTCTTATCAAATACACAATTAAATAGATTAGACAATGGAGTTCAAAAATCCAAGTAAGCACAATTAAAAAGCAACATTATTAAAGATTTAAAAACCAAAAAAATATATAAATATCAGTGTAAGAATTGGACATTTATATATGGAGCTCTAATAAATTATGCATGTAAATTTTCACATTTATAGAAAAAAAAACTGATTTTTTATTTTTTTTTAATTATTATTATAAAATCATTTATGTTCACATATTTACTTTCATACATTTTTTTTTCCCTATTTGATTTTCAAATTCTGTTGGATCCTTTATTAGTAGTAATTGACTTTTAAATTTTTTTGGACTAATTTATGAAAAATATTATTTGAACTTACTCTGGGGATCTAATTTAATTCAACTATTAAATTAAAAATTGACTTCATTCAATATTGAGACTCACAATTAATCTAATGACTCCATTGAATTGAGTCTTTGATTAAGTAATACAACCAAATATATGTCATATCTGATTTTTTGATATGCAACAACATCGTAATATTATAATACAAATAATAGTATTGCAATCTAATCAGTCTCTTTGATAAACAAAAATATTAAATCTAGAATATAATTATATATGCAAATACTCAATAATAATAATCTTACAATAAAGCTCTATTAGGTATTTAAAGATGGGTAAAATAGATCAATAATTAGATTTTATAATAATTAAAATAAGAATTAATTATTTAATTCTAATTTTTTATTTAGTTTATTAAAGATATAATTTAATTTTTATCAAATAATATTATTTATATATGCTCACATGCAACTCACGCTTCAATAATATAAAAACGCCAACTATCTGCTAGCACAATATGTTTGATGTAATAATAACAATTGACAATTTGTTATTTAATTGTTTTGAATTGTAATTATTTTCTTAGTTTTAATTCAGGCTTCTTTATTTGAGGCTAGATTTTTACATGGCTATCAGACATGGGGACTAAATAGGAACTAGTGTGGTCTCACTCTTACCACAAAAAATTTTAAAAACAAAAGGTTCACAATCTCTCTCTCTCTCTCTCTCATGGTCTATTGTATAAAAAAAAAAAAAAAAGGTTTATTTGTAGATAATCGATGATATATAAATTTATAATTTATTTTTACCTTAAAAAAAATTTGTTGGACGATGTATGATATATGCACAAGCAATGTCATATGGATTTAAAAAGTAGACTTAAAAATTAAACTTAATAATTATAATCATTGATTTCATTGTGAGTCCCAAAATTTATTGAAACCTACTACCTATTTAATGCTTAAAATTATCAAATTTAATTTTTAAATCTCCATATGCACCTCTCTACTTCCAAGTCGTCATCCAAATCAAATCTCATTTTGTGTTTCTTCCTTCTCAAGCTTGGCAGCATGCAATATTATGGCCATCCTACAGTACACGTGTCAGCATATGAGCCCCAAAAGAAAAATCTCAACTCCCAATTGTTTTTTTTTTAAAAAAAAAAATCGGAATGTCTGAATCAATTTACGCACTCCTCAACTAATCTCCTTCCAGTTCGATCAAAGCTAAATCCCAAACAATCTCATTCATCAAAATCCATGCAAAATATATTCGTTATCACATCCAAAATGTTATCTTCTCTGAAAAAAATCCATTCAATTTTAAGAAAGATGGATAATATGATGGGTACCATCATGCATAGAAGTTATTTTAAAATAAGATTACAATTTAATCCTATCCAGTTATCTTACAGTTTTTAAATAAGATTACAATTTATTTTAAAATATAGAATTTTTTGGAATTGATTATAACATTTTAAAATTAATTCTAACTTATTTATGTTATAATTTAATCTTATTTTGTTGTCTCCGACTCAAAAAAAATTAACCAAACCCAAGAAAGACAGGCAAAAATGAAAAACTCAAACAATTTATTCATGCACCACCGCCACACAAAAAAAAAAAAAAACAATTAATGCAAACAAACTAAATCCACAAATCAAACATACAAGTCTCAACTTGAACCACCAGTTTCATCCTTGGAGCTCTACCTCTTACACGGCTGAAACAATCTCTAAGTTGGCCAACTTCCCATCACTCACTCACTCTATAAATTCAAACCACCTCCTTTTAGCCTCTTCTACACCAAATTCCAAAACCCTGTAAACCACAAACCCTAAAATCAGAGAAGACCCACCTGAAAACATAGCTGAAAATGGACATATGGTCATGGATTTCTGAACTCCCCAACTCGGACGAGTGGTCCGAGTCAACCTCATCACTCACCTTCCAACTAGCAAGTTCCACACCAAGTTCAACAAAGAGCAATACTACCCAGATGATTCAACTCAGAGCTGAGAGAGCCGGGTCCAACCCGGAACCATTGGTGGTGACTTTCTCAGTATGCTTAGTAGGGTTTCTCTCTCCTAACTCAGAGCAAACCATATGGGTTTCTGACACGTGTCCTTTATCCTCCGACAAGCCATTCTTGTCTCTCATAGTTCAACTCCTCCAAGAGATCATTTCACGAGCACCCACGGCTCATGATAGCACCTGCCCACGTTCACAGCTTCAGAAGCTCAAACCGGAGCCACTTTCATGGCTTCTTGACTCACACTCGACCGAGTCATTGTCGAGTTTCTTCAGTCTCATCTTCCTCGCACGCCTTTTCTGGCTATGTGTCTTCGACGCACCCTCCGAAGCTGGCTCTTTGTACTTCCATGCACTGTTAGCTCCAAACCTCGGAGCCTTTTCGTGTAACCACGCGCCCATACTGCGAACGTTCTTCGTTGCGGTAGGAGTTGACGTGGAGCTATTCTTAATGCGCACCTTTGGATATATGTTAGCAAAATGGTTGATTTTAAGGGAACTGGGCATAGGGTTACAATCGTTAACACCGTTGCCATCTCATAATCTTGGGTTATCCTACGCTATGGAGTCTCATGGATTTTGGGTTCTGAAAGGCTACGCGCCGGCTAAGGCAATGAAGTGCAGGGGCTCTAGTGGTAGAACCAATAAGCTGTACCCTGTGATTGAAGCCAAAGAGTCTGTGCTGAGATATGCTTTGAGTCATCAGCAGCTTGAGGCTGTTATTCAGTTGGAATATACAGTTGGATTTTATGATGGTTTTATTCAAGTTAAGGCACGCGTCGATAATCTACGCTTCCACGTGGCCCAATTAGGGTTTAATAAAAAGGAGGAGGAGGAGGAGGATAATTATTTGAATGAGAGGTATTTTCCATCAAGGATTCGAGTTTGGGTCGGACCGGAGATTGGGGCGAGTTACGTGGCCGGTTTGAGTTTGGGTCAATCCACGGATAATGTGGAGAGAGAAATGGAAATGCAAAAGATTTTGAAGGGTAGTTTTGGAAAATTGAAAGTTCCCAAGGCAAAGGTTATGACAAAGATGGCAACGAGAACAAGAATGAAAAATTGGAGGTGGGAGCAAGATGTGGAAGGAAATTTAGCAATTTTTGATGCGGTTTTATGTGACAACAAGACTGGTATCGAAGTTGCTACGTGGAAACCGTCCTCTGATGGTGGTGGTGGCGGCAGCGGCATTGATGGTCAATTGGGGAATAGTTTTCGAGGAAGATATTCGGGAGTGAGTAGGCCGTTCACAAAAAAAGGGGGTTTGGTTTTTTCAGGGGAGGAGTGTGGAAGTATAGGGTGGAGATTGAACAAAGAGATGGAAGGGAGTGTATTGAAATGGAGAATCGGAGGTCAAGTTTGGTTGAGTTATTGGCCTAATGATGTAAAGAGTTCATACTTTGAGACAAGGTGTGTGGAGTGGTGTGAAGAAGTTGATTTGCCTTTGATTCCTGGTAAATACTAAAAGCATGGTATAAGACCAGGCACTAAAACATAGTATGTACATATTTTTCACTGTCAAAGCTAATAACGGATGTGTTTCCTTTTTCCCAACTATTACTCACGAGTTTTGAACCTCTAATATTTTTTATAGAGCTGTCAAAATATGATACGACTCTTTAACACGACAAGAACACAACACAAAATTATAAAATTTGAGTATTCTTTAAGTCACTTGCTCAGTAAACAAGTGGACCTGACACGACACGATTAATAAACAAATCGGATATGAGTGAAACTAATTAGAAAAAATACACGACCTGACTTGTTTATATACCAGTTATACACGATTTATATACGACATGAATCTTAAATGACACGATTCGTTATACATTGATTAATAAATGAATTGAATATGAGTCAAATATTTTTTGACATAAATCCATCACACCCAACAAAATTGGCAGACCTAAATTGAATGATATTCTATCTTTTAAGATACTATGTTCATACTTAACCAATAGATATCTAACAATATTCAATTGAAATCCAACGACATCCAATAAATTTATCATTAGATGATTAAATTGAATTGAATCAAAATTGACAAAATTCGAATTCCATATGTTCCTTGTATTTACTCAGGACTTGGGATGATGAATAAAATCTAATTCATCTTCATGCTAATAGAAGAATGGATCCAATACAAAGACTACTTCTTTATCAAGAAGTGTAGCAAGTACTTGAGGAATTTTAGAATATCAAGGCCCAATGAGTTAGTCGCCAAGTGCCCTATAGAAGGGCAATCTATCACAAAGATCGAGTTGAAACCTTTAGCCAAAGCCCTTTATGAACGGGGTTGGATTTGGGGCGAGTTTATTTTGGAGAAAAACGGAAGTCAATATAAAAATATAGATTTTGATGGGCCAAGTCCATGGCCCAAACTCAAATTATAAGTCCGATCTGAGTTTATAGCCCAACTCTAAAAGATCCGCCAAGTCTAACACAATCTGGTTAACTTGGTCAAGCTCAAGGAGCTACATCAACATGGAACAACATATCCAGCTCAAGAAGCTACATCAACAGGGAGCACACAAGGTCATCCAAGGCCTCATCCTCACCGCCTTGGAAAGAGCTAACCTTTATCTCATCCGTTGACCAAGTCTTATAGAGAGTATCGTAACCGCCTCGCCCATTGAAAAGAGATTGCCACCTGTACCAAATCAATAATTTAATTACTATTAAGTCACCCCAATTCGTTATGACCGTCAAATTAACTATTTAATTACTATTAAGTCGCCCTAATCTGTTATGAGGCGACTATAAATTGTAAGCTCCGCCAACACTTGGAGGGCATCACACTCAATCAAGCATATCTCCTCTCTCCCTCTTGTAACTCTCAGCTCTTTTTACATACTTGAGTTAATAAAATATCCAGCGACCCTATCCATTCAAAGTGGACGTAGGTCACGTGGATCAAACCACTATAAACCTTGTCTTGCTTTTGTCTCTGTCTCTGACTTATCAATTACTGTATTTTTACTGTTCAATTGACAGGTGTTGTACAAACCCAATTTGTGCATCATCAGATTTATTTGAGATAAAATACATTAAAAAATTCGGTGTATCTTTTTTAGAGTATCAATGCAACAATGTTTAAAAATATCGACTTCGGATTGAGAGAGGGGGAGTAATTGTGCCTTGAATACGTGGTAGAGAGAGAAATAGGAGTAGAGATAGTGATAGAGAGAAAAAAATATGGGAGAGAGATTGGGAGAGTAATGAATAGGGAGAGACTGACATAGGAACGGGGAGAGAGAGTGTGTGTGTGTGTGAGTGAGTGAGAGAAAGAATAAGAATAAATATTCAAAATTCAAATGAATGATAAAATTTAATCAAACCTTTCTAATTGACAAACAATCAATCAATTATGCATTATTTAAAAAAGGATAAACATATAGTATAAATAAAAAGGTCATTTGAACTTTATATCTAATAACAAGTTATTTTAGTAAAAGTAAACTTAATAGAGTAAAATTTTGTCAGTACATTTTCTCTTAAATAAGTTTAAAATAATATCCACGCATCCCAAAAAAAAACCCTTTATTTTATTTGTTATATATTCTGAAGTTTTGTTGGATTTTGAAATGGATCTAGCTTGACCTAATCTCTAACCCACACTTCCGGTGGGTGCATATGCTAGACCAAGTTTCGCCCAAAGAAGCGAAGTATTAGTTTGCTTAGTTTGAGATTAATCAATTACGTATAGTCTAATTGACCATCCTCAAAATGCTTCAAAGTCTTCTCATCTCATCAAGAGGTTAGAAAGTCAATACTTATCAAACACAAGATCGATTTCTTACGTCCCCATGTAAATTTTTTTTTACTCCATCCTGTGGATAGGGGCGGAACCAAGATTTATGTGTCGTGGGGGCAAATTATAACTAATTGTTATATTGAAATCATAACGTTAAAGCTATTCAATTTATCACCAATATGTTAATATGTCAATACTGAAAAACCAATCAATCAATATATGTTATTTCAAATATGATTTATATACAACCAAATTTTAAATATAGAAATATTTAGTTATAAGAATATGAAAAAAAAAAAATTAATCCAATACAAAACATTCAAACTTAAATCTAGAGGTCAATCAAAAATTAGTTTTCAATTTCCATGAACTCTAGAATTCAAATATATAAGTGCAATTCTACAAGAAATTCATGACAACTATAGCAAATTGAAAAAAAAAAAAAATCTTTTGTATAGTGTGTGCACATATTCTATTTTTTCCAAATTTGTGATTTGTTGATTAAATTTTAATTAGTCGTGCTTGCTTGACTTTCAAACTTATAAAAGATTTTTTTTTTAAAAATCTTCCTATTTTTCAAAATATAAAGAGTGATGCTATTTGGTGGCATAATAATGTGACAGATTAATAAACAAATCGGGTATGAGTAAAATCAATCAAAAAAAATACACAATATGACTCGTTTATAAACCAGTTATACACGACACATACCCAATATAACACAATTTGTTAGATACGAATTAATAAACGAATTTGGTATGAAAAAAATATTTTTTGATACATACTCGCTAAGACTCGACACGAATCTATCTCACCTGACACGATTGACATACATAATTTTCTATCTTTTAGAATACTATGTACACACTTAACCAATTGATACCCAACAATATTCAATTGAAATCTAACGACATCCAGTAAGTTTATCGTTAGATGATTAAATTAAATTGAATTCCATTGAAATTGACAAAATTCAAAATTGACAAGATTCAAATCCATATGTTCCTTGTATTTACTCGGGGCTGGGGGATGACAAATAAAATCTAATTCATGTTCATGTTAACAAAAGAGTGGATTCAATACCAAGACGACTTCTTGCTCATGAAATGTAGCAAAGTACTTGAGGAATTTTTGGATATCATGCCCTACAAATTACTTGTCAAGTGCCTCTTAGACAGGCAGTCTGCCACAAGATCGAGTTGAAACTTAGAGTCAAAGCCCCTTATGAACGGGGCTGGATTTGGGGCGGGTAAATTTTGTGGATATTTTGAAGTTTTGTTGGATTTGGGCCTGGATCTTGCCTGACCTGGTCTCTAACCCACACTTCTAGTGGGTGCATATGCTAGACCAAGTTTGGCCCAAAGAAATACATACGAAATTCGTAAACAGTATATACATATTCAACATTTTCGTCTTTATGAAAGTTCTTATTTACAAATGAAATGGATCAAATTAATAGAAAAAGCCAGGTATTAGTTTGTTTAGTTTTAGATTAATCAATTACGTCTAGTCTAATTGATCATCCTCAATAGACTTCTAATTCTGCTCATTAAGAGGTTACAAAGTCAATTCTTATCAAAGACGAGATTGATTAGTCATGTCCCCACGTAAAAATTTTTTGAACTCCATGTTGTGGACTTCTGTCAAGGTTTTTTTTTTCTTTTTTGGTGCTTTTGCATATGTATGAATGCATTGTTGGTTCAACGTTGTAACAATTGATTATTTATTATAATAGTGATACAATGGTGTTCATTAAAAAAAAAACTAAGTTGAGGGTGCTAATTTTAACTTGTTTATCTTACCGATCAATCTTAATTTACCATGTTTGAAGGATGAAGTTGTTCAGACAGAGGATAAAGTCATGATTTTTACTTTATGTCCCTAGTTCTATTTACCAATTTAATAAGATAGGAGGGAGGCTTACATTGAGGTAAATTATAAAATGGAGAAGCTCAATTGTTAACAAATTTAGGTCAATTGAAATGGATAATATTATTTTGTTGGGGCGAATTTCACTTTGCATTTGAAAAATTTCAAGATTTTCACTTTATACTCTCAAAATTTAGATTTCTCACATTACACACTTCAATGTATCAAAAATGTTACAATATAATTCTTATGTTAGTTTTTCGTTAATTTTTTCATCAATGTCAATAGCTGAAGCATGTTGTAACACTTTTGATATATTTAGGGTACAATGTGAAAAATTTAATCTTTAAAGGTAAAAAGTGAGAATCTTAAAAATTTTTAGGGTACAAAGTACAAAAAATCTTATTTGATTTTAATTTGGGGACTTAATTCAATACAACTATTAGATTGAAAGTGACCTCCATCTAATATTTGAATTTATAATTAATCTAACAATAAATTAGGTCTTTGATGAAGTTTGTTACTGGTTGATCTAATGATCACTATTATTGAATCTTAAAGTGACAAGTTCGAATTTTATCGTTCTGTTCTTCTGTAATTAAAGGGTCATTTATACAATTTATTTATGTGAAGATGTGGCATGACCGTCTAATATTAAACGAATATACCATCTATTTTGTAAATTAATGAATCCCATAAAACATAATTGAGTAAAATTAATTAAAAAAATATAAAATATAACTAGTTGATATATAAATTATATACGATACAAATGACACTGTTTATAAAAAATAAACTAATAAACAAGTTAAATATATATAAAATAATGTTTGATGTAGATCCGTCATGATTCTCTGACAGAATTGATTGACCCAATATTAGGTAAATGATAAATGCGGTGGTCCGGATTGATAAAACTGGGATCAAATGATGACGCATGGGGATCGTTAAAGTAAAGATAAAAGGCCTCTAGCTTTGAAAGTGGGTATAGACATGGGCGAAACAGTGGGACCCAAGTGATGTGCAGTACATGCCGTGTGAATTGAATGCTACGGCTGGCAACGCTTCTTCTTTGCTGTCATCTCTCTCTCTGCCTCCACTTTCACAATCAACCGCCATCATATTCTGTCTTTCTTCTTAGTACTCATCAGTCATCAGTTCACGGGACTGATATACAACTCTAGAGAGAGAGGAATGGAGAGGAGAGGAGAGGAAAAATGCAAGCCTCAAGCAATGGCATAGAGGAATTACATAGTAAGACATAAAAGATTGCTATTGTGATTAACCCAATAGGGTACCTATTCTTTGGGTTCAATGGAAGATGGTGACTGGGTTCTGGTGCGACCGCCTGTAGAGAAAGATTTTTAGAACCCCAGAGAGAGAGAGAAGATCGAAAGATTGCAAGCCTGAAGCTACAGGCATAGAAAAAGCATACAGTGACATTCAAAGATTTTGGAAAGAAAAAGGTAGACTTGAAAGATTGCTGTTTCAATTAGCCCAGTTGGGTATCTTTTCTTTGGGTTTCAATGGAAGATGGTGGCTGGGTTCTGGTTCAACCACCGACGGAGAGATATTTTTGGAACCCAAGTTTGGTAGAAACAGAGACTTCGAGGCCACTCAAGGTAAGGTTCAATGAGCCTGCAAAGCACTGGACCGATGCTCTTCCCATTGGTAATGGCCGTCTTGGTGCTATGGTTTGGGGTGGTGTTGCATCTGAAACTCTCAATCTCAATGGTAAAGAACTGTATCCCCTTTTTCGTCTGGTGTTGTTTGGTTGCAAAAAAGGAAAGAATAATAAAGGAAAAAATAAATCTGTGAGTTTTGTGGTTATGTGTTATGTCGTTTCGTGGGTTTTAAGCAATGCAGTATTGGAATTGTTTCAAATAGATGATCAAATAGATGAGAGTTGGTAAATCTAGTTAAATGGGTAATAATTCATGAGTTTGATTTGTCTTTATCAGAGTTCTATACTGTTGTTCAGTTGAGTTTGATTTGCTTGACTTTAGTTTGTTCCTATTTTTAATCTGTCAGATGGGACTCTGTTTGGTTCATGGGAAAACAGAGGATGAAGGAAGATGTTAAAAGTTCGAATCCTGTGTTCAGTTGCTCTGAATTTAGAGAGATGATTATTTTTTAACCCAAATAATTGAAAGGGATGTTAGTCACCATTGCATTAGTGTATTTAAGCTTATTGAAGTCTGCTTAGATCTTAGTGATTGGAGGCTTTATTAATCTTGGGTCCCAAATAGTGGAAGTTTCAAAAAGTTCATGATCTTTTTCCCCTATATTATTTTTTTTTTGCTTAGATACAAACAGGAGTACAATGATTAGTATTGTAAACATTATATAATTAAGGTAATTTATGATTAATAAATTGTACAATTTAAGTTGTGCAATTAAAAACTTCATGATAAACTTATGTATCTTTTCACTTAATTTTGGTAGAGGACACTCTTTGGACTGGGGATCCTGGGAATTACACAAACCCTGATGCTCCGGAGGCACTATCAGAGGTCAGGAAACTTGTAGATGATGGCCAATATGCCGAAGCTACTACTGCAGCAGTCAAGTTATCCGGAGATCCTTCTGATGTATGTTACTTCATTGCCTTCATAGCAGCTGTAACTCTTTGTTTTGTTACCCAATTCCCCACAGATATTATTCTCCAATGTTTGTTGAATCTTACTAGATTTGAAGACCTCTCAATTTCCATGGCTTATTTGATCAGTGTTGACCTCCTATGTGATTACAATTAAGCCACCTTATTGTTGAGTAGCATACAAAACTTACTGTAGGTGAAATGTCTCTCGGAGTTTAGCCCTGATAGCAATTCAAACAATGGTTTGATTGGTAAAGGCATCAGCATGTACGAATTAGGGATGTGATTGCTATCCTTGACACAAGACCTTGTGAGGGACACTTAATGAGTTTTTAAATTGGTCTTTTTTTATATAGGAGGATTTTTTAATTGGTCTTTGTCTCACTTGACAACTAACTTTCCCCATGGAATGTCAAAATGAATTGCATAATCTTTTTGTATGGGTTCATTTAGTGGTTTGTCCCAGACAGGCAACCCCTGTGCATATGCAAGGTTTCAATCGTAGCGAGTAGAAACCAATATTATGACGGACGCTCAATGCAAAAAAGTGAGGTGTTTCGGGCTATCCAGCAAACTGTAGCTAACATGATAGTTAGCTAATTAAGGTGTTTGTGGACCCACTGAAATCAATTATATGATGCATAACTCTTATACATCAACTTAAGTAGCACATTCAGTGTGCAAGGTTCCCTTAGTTGTTGCATACTGTTTTCTTCTTCCTCATTTCAGTTAACTTTGTTTGAAATAGAAGATTTACCTCTGAGGAAGCTTCAAACTGTTTTGTGATTTATATCCTTTTTTTTCTTGTGAAAACAAAGGTTTACCAGCTTCTGGGTGATATGGAGCTGGAATTTGATGATTCTCATGGTGCATATAGTGAAGAAACGTATCAAAGAGAGCTGGACTTAGATACTGCAACAGTTAAAGTCAAATATTCAGTAGGTGAAGTAGAATTTACGAGGGAGCATTTTGCCTCATATCCAGATCAAGTGATTGTGACAAAGATTTCTGGAAGTAAATCAGGGTCACTTTCCTTTACTGTATCTTTAGACAGCAAGTTACATCATCAGTCTCACGTAAATGGCAGAAATCAGATTGTCATGGAAGGAAGTTGTCCTGGTAAAAGACTTTCTCCAAAAGCAAATGAAGCAAACAATCCTAAAGGAATTCAGTTCTCTGCAGTTCTTGATTTGCAGATCAGTGATGGTGTGGGTGCAGTGCATGTTTTGGATGACAGGAAGCTAAGGATTGAGGGTTCAGATTGGGCTGTTATGCTTCTGGTGGCATCATCCTCGTTCGATGGACCGTTCACTAAGCCTTCGGATTCAAAAAAAAATCCTACATTGGAGTCCCTAAGCACTTTGAATTCAATAAGAAATTTATCATATTCTGAACTTTATGCACACCATTTGAATGATTATCAAAAACTTTTCCATCGTGTCTCGCTGCAGCTTTCCAAAAGCTCTGAGAGCATAACAACAGATATGCCCTCTCTAAAGGACGTAGATCTGGAAGTTACTGAAGATAAGACAGTTTCAACTGCAGAGAGGGTGAAATCTTTTCCAAATGATGAAGATCCCTCATTAGTGGAGCTTTTATTCCAGTATGGTCGATATCTGCTTATTTCTTGTTCACGGCCTGGAACTCAGGTGGCAAACCTGCAGGGGATATGGAACAAGGATATTGAGCCACCATGGGAGTATGTTCTGCATTCATTTTTCCTTTTTCTTTTCCTTCCTGTTTTGATGCTTTTACTTGATATTCTATGATTTCTCCTGCCTCATATTTATATATTCTTTACGCATCAGATGGTTTTTCCTTTGGCAAAACCAGATTTACAACAAAGTTCTGAGTCTATTTGCATCAAGATTCTCTTTCAGACAGAGACTCATTAACCTTATATTTTTGTTCTTCCCCAGTGGTGCTCCTCACTTGAATATCAATCTTCAAATGAACTATTGGCCTTCCCTTCCTTGCAACCTTAAAGAGTGCCAAGAGCCTTTATTCGATTACATGTCCTCCTTGTCGATCAATGGAAGTAAAACTGCAAAAGTAAGGTTTTCTTCACTTTCTGATTTATATATTTTACATGTCCTCCTTGTTGATCAATGGAAGTAAAACTGCAAAACTAAGGCGTTCTTCAATTTCTGATTCATATATTCTTTCCAAACTTGATAAATTTGTATCCAGTGTTCTTTATCAACGTTATACCAAATTATACAGGAAATATGCACACATTGTTTTTATATCCAAACATGATGTGTAAAAAAAGAGGTTGCTCAGATGTGGACTAGAGCAGAAATTTTGTAGCTGCTGCAAGATCTATCATGATTGCTGCTGATATATGTCATGATTGAAGAAAGAATTTGACTTTCTTTTCACATAAGAAATGGAATTTACAGATGAAGAGAAGATTGCAAAAGTTTTTGACGGCTCTGTTGTGCCTTTGGGCTTTTTTATTTTTTTGAAAGAGGGGGGGGGGGTGTTGTTTTTTTGTGGAGTGTAGTTTGTATATGTGATCTGGATGATGACCCGACCTGAAGTAATGTCGTGTGGTTTTTTTTTAATGAAAATTTTTTTGAGGCTTAGTCCATGAACGCTACGGCTTGGGCCCTCGAGGAAAATTTTTGGGCCCGTTATATAGCCCAGTGCGTAGGACATATAAAACCCGTTATTTTGGTGATTAGGGTTAATATGGTGGATTGTACAGCTACTCTCTGTATTCAACTCTCTCAATAGTGAAATCCCTGCAGTTTCGTGGACGTAGGTAAATTGCCGAACCACGTAAAATCTGTGTCTTGTTCTTTCTTGTTTCTTATTGCTTTATATTCTTGATTTGTTCTTCGATTGTGTGTGTTTGTTAGTGGATTTAAATTGTTGTTAAATCCCAATAAGGGGGGGGGGGGGATACCCCTTGCTTGTATAACATATTTGGATAAGTTAGTGTAGTGATTCATATCAGCTTTAGTCATCTGATCAGTACCACAATTTAAAGTAATATATCTGCATGATGGTGATTCAGTACCATCTAGTGTTCTGTAATTTCTGTATTCTCCAAATCAATCTTTCTTTATGCTCCATTACCCAATATAAATGTACAACCTTTATGTATTTAGTTGCAGAATGTTACAGGTGAACTATGAAGCACGTGGTTGGGTTGTACATCAGGTGTCTGATGTATGGGCAAAAACATCACCAGATCGCGGTCAGGCTGTGTGGGCTTTATGGCCAATGGGTGGAGCATGGCTTTGCACCCATTTGTGGGAGCATTATACTTATACAATGGACAGAGTGAGATTACGACTCTATTTTCGTTTTTTCTTTTTCCCATTTTATGTTTTCAATATCCTGCCTTGCATTGCTGGTGGAGCTGGTTCCATGTCCGAAGTTAATAAACTTATGTACCATCTGGTAATGCTTTTTTTAAGTAACTTTTTGAAGTAAAAAAATTATTTCGCCAAAAAAGATAAAAGCACGTTTGATTACTCTTTGGCAAAAGTGGTCTATATGCATCTTATATAAATGATACACTTGTGTATGTGCATATGAATACTGATATACATAAGATCAAGTTTGGAGGAGGGAAACAAGTCCAGAAAAGGAAAAAGTAAAAAAGCAAAAATGTAAAACAATTGCTACTTAAAAAAAGGAAAATAGTTTGCTTCATAGTTTTATTGTAGATATAATTGCAATTGGAGATGTAACATTTGGCTTTAGGTGGTTGATATTAGGTTTTGTTGCTCCTGGAAGATATAACCTTGAAACTTTGGGCCTACAGCCATCAAGGTAGAGGGAAGTCTATAAGTTTTAAATAGCTGCTTTTATAATAAAAGTCAACATTTTCACCCCTCACCTACCATGAGAAAAGATATGAACTTGCATTGGAGACTCACTATATTTGTCTCAGAACTGTAGAGCAGGCCATTTGATTGCTAGTATTTTCTAAATAATCAGGATTTTCTAGAACACAAGGCGTATCCCTTGTTGGAAGGATGTAGTGCATTTCTGTTGGACTGGTTGATTGAAGGCCGGGGAGGATTTCTGGAAACCAACCCATCTACCTCTCCAGAACATACTTTTTCTTCTCCTGATGGTAAGCCTGCTAGTGTTAGCTACTCCTCAACCATGGACATGTCGATTATTAAAGAAGTGTTCTCTGCCATTGTTTCTGCTGCTGAGGTAAGCCTGCTAATCTGAATAAGTTCCAAGGTTTGTCTCTTTATCATTTCGTTATCTGATATTTCACATATTAAAGAAGAAAATGTCATGAACAGGTGTTGGGAAAGAATGCAGACAATTTGATTGAAAGAGTTCGCAAAGCTCAAGCACGGCTTTATCCAACAAAAATTGCTAGGGATGGTTCCATCATGGAATGGGTATGTAAAAAGCATGAATTTAATTTACATTCTTTGTGTTCATGTTGCTTGAAGGAAGTTAGCTGAAAAGGTTTTTTTCCAGCTCTGAGGAATAGGATTTTTTATCTCTTTCTGCGTCATGGCAGGCACAAGATTTTGAGGATCCAGAGGTGCATCATCGACATGTATCACACTTATTTGGCCTGTTTCCAGGACACACAATAACTGTAGAGAAAACTCCTGATCTATGTATAGCTGCAGACAAGACCCTATATAAAAGAGGTTAGTCTGAAGACATCAAATATTGCTTCACTCTTGCATTTTGCAATCATTTTTGTTTATCGACTTTTCTCTTGGGTCTTCCTTCTGTTTTTTGGATTTTTTTTTTTTTTGAGGGGTGAATTAGTGGCAACCCGAATTCGTATTGTTCATATTCCATGTACTTCAATTGATTCTGCTTCCTGAAGCAACAAATGCCTTGCGCGCTGAAAAAGGTAACAGGGAAGTGTTATACACCAACTGTAATTATTTGCAAGTTTAAAGTGATGTCACTTGTCATTATTTAGGTTAAAAGATGATATCAATCATGAATTGGGACAAACTTAGAGACAGAAATGGCTTTGTGCCTAAATGCTGATGGAGATCCTGTAGTGGCTGTTGTTTATGACTTTGGGGATGCACTATTATCTTCAAAGGGGTAGTTGTCGCATGTTGAAATGGATCAATGGATACTTGGATAGCCTTCTAACCTTGTACTCTAAGTCTTTATTTGTACATACGAGCTTCAGTTTACGGAGTGTGATATCACTCGAGTTATCACCAAACGCTCTCATTGATTTGCTTTGTTTGAAACAGGGGATGATGGGCCAGGATGGTCAACTACATGGAAAACTGCTCTGTGGGCACGCCTTCGTGACAGTGAGCACGCTTACAGGATGGTGAAGCATTTATTTGATTTGGTGGATCCTGATCATGAAAGCAATTTTGAAGGAGGACTTTACAGTAACCTATTCACCGCACACCCACCTTTCCAGATAGACGCCAACTTTGGGTAAGCAGCATTTCTGTGTACATAAGTAATCATACCTGCCATTCAGTTGTCCCAATCAATTCCAGCTGCTGAGTGCTGACTGATTGGTGCTAGTATAGCATGGTGTAGTTGCAGGTCTCTTTCATATATTATCTTTATCTTGAAGTCATAGGGGGTGCTTTGAATTGCTTTATGCTAAATTATTGTTTTTGGTGAAATCATGGATGATGATGTCATTTGGTATTTCTAATTTCAACCAAGACAAACTTTGAAGATGAGCATATTTTGTGGCTTGTTGATCACCGTTGAGCTTCTATAGTGAAGGGATTCATGGTTAATGGAGAGATTAGGAAGAAAATGTAAGGGTATATTGGGTTCTATATTCCTTGTTTTGAATTCAATTTTGTGAATAGAAAAGGTTATTTATGCATATGTGACTGGTCTTTTAAGGTTTTTGATGTGCTTTTTGTTGAAAAATTTGCATGTTGCAAGTGCCCAGATGAACTTGATAATACACAGTACTTTGCTGTAGGTCTGCCTGAAAAAATAAACTCTCTCAGTCAAAGGTGATGGAAGTAAATAAAAAAATTAGTTTTCGATGAACACCTCATCTTCCCCCCCCCCCCCCTTTCCTTCGAAACAGCAGGGAGGGGTTAAATATAGGTCAAACAGGTCTTCAAGTAATGTTTTATATATATATATATGCATATACTGTAGTTAAACATTGTTTTCTGCTGCATCAGTTTTTCTGCAGCAGTAGCGGAAATGCTTGTCCAGAGCACAATGAAGGACTTGTACTTCCTTCCCGCTCTTCCAAGAGATAAATGGGCGAGTGGCTGTGTGAAAGGATTGAAGGCACGCGGTGATGTTACAGTCAACATCTGCTGGACTGAAGGAGATCTCCATGAAGTTGGTATTTGGTCGAAGAATCAGAATTCTACTAGACGATTACATTATAGAGGATCTACAATCACAACACAACTGTCGGTGGGCAGAGTTTACACGTTCAATCGCCTGTTAAAATGCGTTAATTCGTACCCTTTGTGAGAAGAAGCGGCTTTTCTTTCAAGTCTCAGATCAAAATGATCTTATGAAGAGCATTATTTTTCTTGGTACAATTAGATTTCCAAAGAATATCCTCCCTTTGTTCTATCTTTTTGCTTTCCCTTTGCTCTCACTAATCTTTTTCCACTATTGATTCATTCACCTCCTACCTTTTGGATGTCTACGATGGTTTTGACTACTTGCTGTTATTTGTCTTGTATCCTTATGATGCAGAATTGTAAGTGGAATAAATAATTTTTTGTTTTATTCAGAAACTATAATTGCTTCTCGGGTACTTGTTTTTGTTATAGTATGGAGAACTATTCTGCCCAAAATAAATTTTAAATGTTTGCGATCATTTGTAAATCACGTGGATCAGATTAACATTTTTTTGTTACCCTAATCGGCTTCTTGGAGGGTTGATTTTGACTAAGATAGATAAAATAACATGCATAAAATGGCGTACTCCGTATCTGAGGATTGTTATTGTGGGGTCTTAAAATGATCCAATGTATGCAATTTTATTTGTACAAGTAGAGAGGTTATTTTTGCAACATTAAAACAATGTTGTTTTAATTAATTATTAAAATTTTGTTTAGATGTATTATTTTGAACATCTAAGAAACGGAAATATTTTGACATATTTTGGAAATGTTTTAAACTGTTTCGAAAATAGAATAAAAAAAATAAAAATTTAAGAATTATTTTTTTTAAACATTAGTTAAAATATACCGATGATACTCATAATGATTCTCAAGCAAAAGCTCAGGAATAGATGTCAAATATGGAGGTTAGGTATGCTGAGCTCAGAAAGTCAGAGTTATGCAGAACTCAAAAAATCAGAGTTAGAGCTCCCGTCAAGCAAGATAATAAGCTGAAGCAATGAGGAAGCAACTGGATATTACAAAAAACTCTACAGGCGGTTTGAAGTAACACTCAAGGCACAAACTTTTCAACCAACCAAGATACTCTCCTAAGATCAAGGAGAATTCTTCGGATAGATGGCAAGGATCATGAATCAAATCCCATAGATTAAGGGTCACCCCTATAAATACTATGTAACGCCCCCATCAGAAGGGGGGACCGAATGACCAAAAACGTATTCTGTAAACCTTTGGTATGATCAATAAAGAAAAATGAGTCATAGCCTCCATTGAAGAGTGGATTAGTCAAGCTCCCTAGTTGGTGAACAACTATATTTCCTCTGTGTTAATCTTTTAATTCTCGGAGAACCTTAAGCATCATTCCCTGGAGCCAAGTGGCTCAGACGTTAATAATCAAAATATTGCTTATCCCATTGACTCATTACCACAAAACTGTTTCGCCGTTGATTTACACCATCAGTTTGGTGCCGTCTGTGGGAATGACTGTTCATGTTACAAATAAAATTGATTTTTCAGTGACTGATGGTATCAACGCAAAACATGAGCCGAAGTCAGACTAATCCTCTACGGATACAAGATCAACAAGAAGCTGCAAATAACAGACAACCTGAAAACGCACAAGAAGTCGATTCCCCCATGGGGGGCCTTCCTATGAATAATGAGATTGAGGCATTTCGTCTTGTCAATGAACATCTGATAAAAAAGAACGAAGAGCTTTTAAAGTTCTTACAACGCCCATAGGAGGCGCGACCAGCCCAAGGAGGCCAGAATAATCCACTACCTAGGGAGCAACCATACCTCGACCCCCTCAGAGAAGTTAACGAAGAAGGGGAAAACAGTCAAACCATGGGGCCAGAACCTCGCATACCCCCCAAGAATGGCCACAACGACGAAGGACAGAGTCAGAACGAAGGAGGTAAGAGAAAAGATTTTTTCCCCTATCAACAGGAAAGGAGAGAACAATATTGGAAGTAGCACTTCTAGGGTATCCAGCAAGAGCTCAGCTACATGAAAGAAGTCGTGAGAGGCAAGGCTCCAGTTACCATGGATGCCTTGGTACAACAGACTGAATCCCCATTCACCATTGAGGTGCTGCATTTTCCCCTCCTTATGAAATTCAGAATACCGCAAATAGACGCTTTCGATGGAACAAAGGATCCCGTAGATCACCTAAACACCTACAAGAACCAGATGGAGTTGCATGGATACCAGGATCAAGTGCGTTGCAGAGCTTTTGCCATCAAGTTGAAGGGCTCAGCCGTAGCATGGTTCAATAGGCTCCCCCAGCCTCGATATCCTCTTTTAAGGAGCTATCCATATCCTTTGTGTCTCATTTTATAGGAGCTCGAACGTACAAAAAGCTGAGTTACCACTTACTAAATGTGAAACAGGGACCCCACGAGAACCTCAGATCCTATGTTCAAAGGTTCAACTCGGAATCGCTAAAAGTGGACGTCCCAGACGAGAAATTTGTCATTACTGCATTTATAGCTCGATTGGGTGTCCAATCGAAAGACCTGATGTTCTTTATCTCAAAAAATCTTTAGGCCAGCATGACCGAAATACTGGCCAAGGCGAAAAAATACATAAACGGCGAAGAAGCTCTACTCTCAAAAGTGGGGAGCTCATTCGTGCAAAAAGACAAAGGAAAAAAGGAGAAAAAGACGGACCAAAGTCCCAGAAGAAAGAGAGGACGAGATAGGTCCCCAAGAAGAGACAGAGATTGCTCCCCCAAAAGAAGGGGAGACGTCAGAGGTCACCATCAAAACCATAAAAGTAGTCCTGAAAACTAAATTAGAAGGTCTAAAAGGTAAATGGGTGGAACACCTCCCAGAAGTACTATGGGCTTACAGAATAACTACCAGGTCAGCGACTCAGGAAACACCGTTTGCTTTGACCTTTGAAACCGAAGCAGTGGCACCAGTCAAGATTGGACTTCCATCCCCCTGAACTGAGTTTGCCAATGAAGGGGACAATGATGAGTCTCTTCTACTGAGTTTGGATCTCATAGAGGAAAAGAGGGATGCAGCTTTGCATCGTATCAAAAGTTATTAGAAAAGGACAGCCAAGTACTATAACAGGAAGGTTAGACGAAAGAGTTTCATGGTGGGCGATCTAGTGCTTAGAAAACTTTTGTTGGCAAGGAAGAACCCGACTCACGGGAAGATGAGGGCAAATTGGGAAGGTCCGTACATCATCTCAAAGTTGATAAGGCCGAAAAATTACGAGTTGCAAATCGAGGAAGGCAAACTCCTACCTCATTCTTAGAATGCGTAGCATCTTAAGAGATTTTTTTCGTGAACTTCTTCGGTATTCTGATTGTTCTCAATAAAATTACATGTCTTTATTTTTTCCCTGTAAAATTGCCTAAAAACGAGCTCAATAGCTCACGATGAACTCCTAAGTTCATAGGAATGAGCTAAGAAACTCACGATGAACTCTTAAGTTCATGAGAACGAGCTCAGTAGCTTATGATGAACTCTTAAGTTCATGGAAACGAGCTCAATAGCTCACGATGAACTCTTAAAATCATGAAAACGAGCTCAATAGCTCACGATGAACTCCTAAGTTCATAAAAATGAGCTCAATAGCTCACGATGAACTCTTAAGTTCATAAAAATGAGTTCAATAGCTCACGATGAACTCCTAAGTTCATAGGGATGAGCTCAGAAGCTCACGATGAACTCTTAAGTTCATGAGAACAAGCTCAGTAGTTCATGATGAACTCTTAAGTTCGTGAGAACGAGCTCAGTAGCTCACGATGAACTCCTAAGTTCATGGCAACGAGCTCAATAGCTCATGATGAACTCTTAAGTTCATGATGAGCTCAATTCACAATGAACTCCTAAGTTCATGAAAACGATCTAAATAGCTCACGATGAACTCCTAAGTTCATAGGAATGAGCTCAGAAGCTCACGATGAACTCTTAAGTTCATAAAAATAAGTTCAATAGCTCACGATGAACTCCTAAGTTCATAGAAATGAGCTTAGAAGCTCACGATGAACTCTTAAGTTCATAAAAACGAGCTCAATAGCTCACGATGAACTCCTAAGTTCATAGGACTGAGCTCAAAAGCTCACGGTGAACTCTTAAGTTCATGAAAACAAGCTTAATAGCTCACGATGAACTCCTAAGTTCATAGGAATGAGTTCAGAAGCTCACGATGAACTCTTAAGTTCATAAAAATGAGTTCAATAGCTCACGATGAACTCCTAAGTTCATAAAAACGAGTTCAATAGCTCACGATGAACTCCTAAGTTCATGAAAACGAGCTCAATAGCTCACGATGAACTCCTAAGTTCATAGGAATGAACTCAGAAGCTCACGATGAACCTTTAAGTTAATAAAAATGAGCTCAGTAGCTCTCGATGAACTCCTAAATTTATCACAACGAGCTCGGCCACCTACGGTGGGGAGTTTAAAAAGAAAAACTCTTTCAGAAGAAGTTACAATACCATGAGGTTTACAAGTCCAATATCCTGAAAAACCCAAACAGTTCTCAAGTCCAGAATTGAACTCGACAGCCTTATTCCCATTAAAGATAAAGTTGTGTCAGACACTCCCAAGCCTTCAAGAATAAGATCGCTTTAAGCTCCATGCCTCTCAGTTCACCACAACAAAAGCTCGGCTACATAAACCTACAGAATCGCCAAAGCTAGCATGAAACGCAGGGAGCAGCTGGTGATGAGATTTACCACTTTTTCTCATCCAATAAGCTCAAGTATGAAACTCCCAAAGCATTATTGTTTCACGAAGAGCTCAGCACTCCTTAAAGCAAGGGGGACAAGGAAAAACTAAAGTAAAAACGCATAGTTAGAGCACATTTGAAGTCGCTGATTGGGAAACCATTACTGTTACATCCTAAGTTCAACACTTGCCCAAGTCAGCTCGGCCAAGAGATGGGGGGCAACTGATGATACTCAGAATGATTCCCGAGCAGAAGCTCGAGAACGGAGGTCAAATATGAGGGTCAGGTATGCTGAGCTCAGAAAGTCAGAGTTATGCAGAGCTCAGAAAATCAAAACTAGAGCTCCTCTCAGGCGAGATAATAAGCTGAAGTAATGAGGAAGAAACTGGATACTACAAAGAACTCTACAGGCGGTTTGAAGTAACACTCAAGGCACAAAATCCTCAAGCAACCAAAATACTCTCCTAAGATCAAGAAGAATTCTTTGGATAGATGGCAAGGATCACGGATCAGATCCCATAGATTAAGGGTCACCCCTATAAATACTATGTAACGTCCCCATCAGAAGGGATGACCAAATGACCAAAAACTTATTCTGTAAAATTTGGTATGATCAATAAAGAAAAAGGAGTCATAGTCTCCATTGAAGAGTGAATTAGCCGAGCTCCCTAGTCGGTGAACCACTATATTTCCTCTGTGTTAATCCTTCAATTTTCGGAGAACTTTAAGCACCATTCCCTGAAGCCAAGTGACTCAAACGTTAATAATCAGAATATTGCTTATCCCATTGACTTATTACCACAAAACTGTTTCGCCAATAATTTGCACCATCATATACCAAAATATTTCAAAATATTTTGAAATAATTGTGAAAATACATTGAAGTATAACAAAACATTTCGAAACATTATGAAACATCTCAAAGTATTAAAATTTCGATCTTATCATTGATTCGTTTCGGTCTTATTAAAAACAAAAACATTTATAATGTTTCGACTATTTTGAAATAATATTTTGATCTTTGATTTTAATCAACGTTATATCTATGCTTGAAAATTAATAGTACAGGACCCGTACCCGGACTCCAAATTGATACTATACAGTACGGTCATGATCTACGACTCCACAACCTAAGCCACATCAAACTTTATGCTCCTCAGGCATAGGGTTCCAACAATCAATCCTCTCCTTAAACCCTTAAACAAAAACCTCACCGAAAAATACAGTTAGTGCGTGCTTCGAAATGGCTTGGCGTGGTTCGCTTTCGAGATCACTGATCTCCACCGCTAGGGCTTCAACCTTACGCTCATCGCCTGCTCTTCCTCGCCTTCGTCCGCCACCGCTCTCCGCCCCTCGCCTCCACACCCGACGCCGCTCCTTCACCAACCCCAGGTCTTCCCCAATCTAACGATCAAAGCTTCAGTTTATTTTCTTGTCCTTCATTTTCTCAGCAATCAAACGTAACATTTTCGTATTCTATAAATATAATGGGACTTTCATCAATGTCGTATTCTACAGTAATTATTTTTTCTTGTGTTTGGTTTATTAGGACTATGGGAGAACTAGGATGCGCTCAGTCGCTGATGCCGCTGTACAGCGTGGTCGCCCAAGGCCGCCTCCTTTCCGTCAATGTGCGGGCTTGTTGCGAGCTGTCTCACGGTACCTTCCGTCGCACTTGTCAGGATCGCTAATAGTTTCTTTGTGAGTCTTAACACACAATTCATAAATGAAAAAAAAAAAAAAAAAAAAGAAAAAGAAAAGTAGTCTTCCATTGTTTCAATAATTTACTCACTGATGCCATAGATGACTCCGATTTTGATTGTTGCTGGTTGATGGTGTGATTTGATTGATGAATTGAGGGGTGTAGTAGTTAAAAAGTCTTTGTTAGTTGTGAAATTCTTCTTTGATGAAAAGGAATTGGGATTATTGGGATTGATAGGGAGGAATGGAAAGGATGGGTGATGCAGCAGGGCTTTCGAGTATCAAAAAGCGGGACAATGATGCCACAGTAGGTTTTTTATTTTGTTCCTCTTGTTTGTTTTTGTCTGTCTCAAACTGTTAGTTGAATTTTTTGCATGGGACAATACAGTTTCTTGGAAGATAAATTGGAAATCTGTCAAACTGCTCTGCATAACCAACAATTTATTAGATTTCCCATTTGGAAGGTTTGTAAAAGACATATGATTGCTGTTATCAGACAATAGCTTGTTCTTTTACGTAGTCCTAGGATAATTGTTATTTTAGCGAGCAGCATGCAAGCCGAACTAATGAATTGATGAGCTTAAAAAAATGTACAACATATTCCAAAAAAATGTGTTCAAACTTGGCTTTTTCATCTCATGAATAAGTTTCGGAATGAGCTTAAAAATATGTTCAAGCTTGGCTTATTTATCTTAGTAATCAATCTTGAACAAGTCTCCGATGGAGCTGATCATGAATCAAGCTTGAATAGCTTAGTTCATTTTAGCGAGCAGCATTCAAGCCGAACTAATGAATTGATAAGCTTAAAAAATGTACAACATATTCCAAAAAAAATGTGTTCAAACTTGGCTTTTTCATCTCATGAATAAGTTTCGGAATGAGCTTAAAAATATGTTCAAGTTTGGCTTATTTATTTTAGTAATCAATCTTGAACAAGTCTCCGATGGAGCTGATCATGAATCAAGCTTGAGTAGCTTAGTTCATTTTATGCATCTAACCAAACATAGATAGCATATTAGTGTTCTTCTAATTTGCAAGAATCAAATATAGTATAAGATTGAAATTCCAATATTTGATGCCTAATTTAGCTTGGATCAACTTGCTTCAAGTATTTATGTTGGTTAGTGATTCATCTACATATTTTTATAAGACATCTTTCATTAGATATGATTTCGCATCAGTTGAAAGATAACCCTATAATAAGCACTCAATCCTGAATTTGATTTTCTGACAGACAGAAAAATACAAAGAACTTGTCTTTGTTTGGACCCAAAACAATAATAATAATTTCCTTTGTATGCATCATTTTTTTATTAAAACTATTTTGCTTAATTTTTGGATAGGATTCATCCATTTAATTAGGCTTGTCAATGGATCGGGTTCGGATTACACTTATCCGAATTCAAATCTGATTATTTTTTGCTCGATTCATTTAGATCCACTATTCTAACAAATTTGAAAAATTCAATCCATATTCGAATCCATTAACTCCCGAATATCTGATCTAAATATTTGATCCAATCTAAAAATATTCTCACACATAGACTTACAATGCTTTGTTCAACTCCACAAAGAAATAAAGATACAACCTGATTTTATTTAAGTTTCCACACAAAATCAGTAGATTAAAGGTCAAGTTCAACTCAATTTCAGTTTAAAAGTACACATTTATAAAAAAAAATCTAACGAGTACAATTTACTTGCACCTAAACTTAGCCCTAATTTAACTTTAAATTTGTCAAATAATTATCAATTCTACATCATAAATAACAAATAAACATTGCAACAGAAATACCGGAGAGAGAGCAAGGGCCACTCCAATGAGCCAAACCAATCCAAGCCTTATATCCTAATAATATGGGGTCGGCTATATGAGTCCGTCTTCACCATTCATTTTGATCAAGCGTTATACGCTCATTTAAATTAAGTATTTTTATATATTTTCTTATTATTTCTTTTAATATTAATTTAAGTCTACCCTTACTTCTAGTACCATTAAGAGAAATTTTATTATTTTTTCGAACCGGTGCATATATCGACCTCCGTTAAATGTGACTAAACCATCTTAATCTATCCTCTTTTAACTTGTTCTCAATTAGAACTACTTCTACTATTTCTCTAATACAATCATTTTGTATTCTATCTTTTCTAGTTTTTCTAAACATACACCTTAACATTCTCATTTTCACTACACCAACGATCTAGCATTAGCACATATATTGTTGTTTGAACTTATCGTTGTAGATCCAACAAAATTTTACACTGGCTGTTAGTTACCTAACACAATCTTCTTTCTTTAATCTGGCTTGGGACTGACAGTATTTAATACAACACTGGCAGAGTTACCACTCCAATGAGCGGAACCACCAAATTGAAAAAATTATGTACAACCCATTGTTTTCAAATCAAAAAAACCCGTCAAATCTATGTATAAACCTTGAAATCAAGTGCCTGTAATGACACCAACCTCTCAACCTAATGAAGATATGGAAAAGTCATAAAATCCCTTTGCGATACACAGAGAGGAAGAGAAAGAGATTTGGAGAGGAAACAAAAGAGAGATGGAGAGGGAGAGAAAGATAGGAAGAAAGAAATACAACACCACCTATACGAAGAAGAGATGACGAAAAGGGATGCAAAGACGGAGGGAGGAAGATCAAAGTCGAAAAAGTGGTTGAGACTCGTGATCAGAATTCGAAGGCCAAGAAAAAAAGAGAGAAATGGAGAGAAGCTTAACGAGAAGAATGGTCTAGAACTCGACCTAATTTTTTCACTTGTTTTATGTTGAAAATGGACAGTGAAGATTCACCACTAAATAATTTAGAGTGTAAATTAAATCTCTCATTATAGTATATGTATATTTAAATTCGGATCAAATCATAAACGGATTGAATATTTGTATATCCATATCCGATCTGTGAAATAAATTATAAATGGATTCGGGTTCGAATTATCGATAAAAATATAAATGCAAATCCGACTATATCCAGTCTATTGACTGGCTTACATATAACTACATTAAAGGCTTCATATTTCTTGTCTACTGCAAGGCCAGTTGGATATACATACTTAAATATAGATGATTGCTTTGTGCAACCACATGAATAGTATCTGAACTATAAGATTTGATTGCCATTACATGGACTAATAATAGGGAAACTTCCATTCTCTGCGCATGTTGAGATTCTAAAATTCCTCTCCTATCTCTCCCTCTACTTGGACTGTTAAACAAACTGAGCCAATCGAGCTTGGTTTGCGCTTGACTAAGTTTTGACTTGTTCAAACTCATTCATTGCAAAAAATTTACTAATTACAATCAAATTTTGAAGCTTGTTTAATACTGAAACTGAGCTTGAACAATGTATTGCTCGGCTCAGTAGCCTTGAGTTCGATTTGCTTATGGTGTTTTACAAATATATTTTGCGATGGAATTTATAAAGTGTAGATTTGTGATTTTTGATAAGAAAATTGTAGGTTCGAGCCTCATTGATCATGTGTTTTTGTATTTATTGAAGCATGAGCTCGAATTTAAGATTTTGATGTGAAAGAAACACTCAATTCAAGTCGGACATGAGCACATAAGTTTGTAGCCAAGCCAAGTTTGAGCAAGAATTCAAGCTTAGCAACCGATCTCAAGCCAAGCTTGAGCCTAACCTAACCATACCCAAGCTCAAAAGGTTGGGCTCGATTAACACCTTACTCTTTGTCTTGATGAGCAGCATAAGCCTATGTCTCCGTATGTTTCAAGATCAAATGCTAGAGGACTAGGCCTCACTAGTCTAGTCACGGCAGAGGTGAGATGTCTATCTGGTGGAAAATTAAAAAGGCTAGTTCTTGTCAGATCTGAAATTTGAATTGGATCCTTCTGAGCCATTTAATGGCTTCTGTCTCTCTTTCCGTTGGGAATAAACTAGACACATCATCATATAATTAAAAAAAAGATCCAAAGATGGACTCACAAATCATGGAGTGTGGCTTTTATATATTGGCATATAAACAGGCACTGCCTCCTCTTCAAAATTCATTTGTTTTTGCAATTTTCCCGTAGATTTTGACAAATCCATTAAGACAGTGAGAGCACGAGATATTTTCTTAAGAGGGGAATGTGCCGAACTCTTTTCTTGTATATGCATTGTGTGTGTATTTATAAAAAATTTAAAAAAAAATGTGTGCATTACATGATTGTATAGAGTCGAGTCTTTTGACCAATGTTACTATAGAGAATCTGGCTGCCCTTATTCAGAATTGTTGGCTTAACTTAGCAGGTTTTGATTATATGATTTTATTATCATTCTAAACTAAAATGGATTTTGTGCACATCTGCATCATGGGATTGGCAGGTACTTGAACACGATGTTGGATCCGCACGATGAGTGCTTCAAGATTTGTTGCCACCATCGTTAGTAGGTATATTTCTTGTCAACTTTTGCTTTGGAATGGAAAAACTCAATGAGGATAGAGCATGTGCTTTTCTTTTCTCAACAAGAGAGATGGAATGACCCAGACAGTCCTATTGTTAAAGATTGAGATATGCTTGTAGGCTGGGTCCCTTTTTTATTGTCCTTTATTTATTTGCGAAATTTACTTCTTTTCTGTTATCACTTGGATTATCCAATTTATGCAGCATCTAGTAATTGTTGTTTGACACCCACATACACACATTGTTGATAGGTGAGGGTTTGTTACAAAGTGTAATTTAGGTGGGTCAAGAGACATCCCAATCCCGATCCCAGTGCCTTAAGATAATCACAATTTTCCTGGTTTCCCTATGATTTATCAGCAAATAACAGAAAGCAGTAATGAATGGTTTTATTGCTCACTGGATGCTCCTAAAAGAGGAATACACACAATCAGTCAATGGGTAAACATTAATTCGAAAGTGAGTTGGCATGCCAGAAAAGATTAAGAGCCGAGGAAACAGCATTTTTGAAAAAACCTCTTTTCATGCTTGTGGATTTTCTAATATACCAAGAAGTTACTTTTCGATACCATAGTCAAGGTTATGATCAAATCAGGTTAAACTACGACTCAAGCAGGCCAAGTTATGAGTCAATGGGATTGATTTGAATGAATCCATTGAACTTGGGATTGATACCAACACTTTTTAGGGATCGATTTCAATAATTTTGAATTAACGTTTTACCTAGATATGTTTTGAGTGTACCATTGAAGTTTCCTGAAGTTTGATGTATTTGGTGCAAAGTACACTGGAATTCATGATACATAGTGGTTGTGTCATTCACTTGTTGAACTTTCATGCTTTTCATTATACACTTGTAGCTCAGTTTGAGGTCAAAATGTTGCAAGGCTGCATTCTTATTAGTGGTTATGGAGACTGAAAATAGCTTTCTCTGTCCTCCATTGCTTTGTATGGCAGTTCTTATTTTGACTTTGTGAAACTCCAAGTGGAATATTTATAATTCATCTAGACATTGTTAAGCCATTAAACTACAATTATAATTCATCTAGACATTGTTGAGCCATTAAACTACGAAGTACAAAGATCTTTTGGGCGAGTGCCAGAGGATTCAGATTCTCTCAATTACGTTTTCTCTCAGTTTTTTTGATAGTAGTGCGTCGATCATGAATTCAAATCATATCTATTATACATTAATGATTCTCCAACTGAAAATGAAGTGTACTTCCAACAAGGCCACTAGCAAAGTGGCGATAGTGGGGAGGACTATGTGGAGAACTGATCCCAAGACTATGTGAACTGAACTACTTGGCACTTATGTCAAAGTGGTCCTTTAGATGCCATTCAGCAGCCCATGATGGATGATCTTTCTAGGAGAAGCCAGTGTCGTGGGGGAAAAAACAAGATTATTTTTTACACCCTGTGCATCATAACTGTTATGCGCACTCAAGTTTTCACTCCAATTAAACACAAAAATTGACCATATAGTGGGATCAGATTTTGATCTGAAGTAAATTAATCCGATATCTTTTTGATTGATAATTTGAATCTGAATGATTTAATCATATTTCATTAATTCAAGTTCAAATATGTAAATACTCAATGTGTTTATTACATATTTATTGAAATATATGATAAATACAAGTTAAATTCATACTTAAGTTGTTTTTTTTAAGGTTAGGAATGACGAAATGGGAAAAATCAACTCCTTGGAAGGTTATTCTTTACTCCATTTCTTTCTAAAGTTAGGAATGACGGGATGGGTGACTTTTGGGGCATCACGTATTTTGATTGTATTTAAATCATAGTTTTTGAATCGGCGCAAAATTCCAATCCCAATCTGATCTATTTTCAACCCATGAGCGGGTGTCTTAGTATTCTGAGTCATGATCAACATTTGAAAAAATAGGCAACCAAAAATTTGTACTTTGGAGTTGCTCCTATCCATACTTTTCTTATGTCAACTTCTGCCAGTCTCGTTTGGGGGAATTGTTTTGGAGCAATTGTTTGAAAAAGTAGATGCATTCACAAAATGCAAAACATCTCCAATTCATGTCTATGCATCCTCATCAATTCCGTATGGCCTTATACCTACTGCTCCAAGTCAGCGGCATGAGTGCTCCCTCCTATTCAAATATATACATACCACTGGCATATGTAACACTATTAATAAACTCATGCCTAAAGATATTGTAACGTGAAGTGATCCCATAGTAAACTGGAGTCTGGAGATGAAGGGTCTAGGTCTAGGAACAGAGCATCAGGAAGTAATGGGAGGGAATTTTGGCACCTAAACTCTTAAACAATAGGTTAAATGCCAAAAATGCCCTTCATTAGAGTCCATCTGCAATTGCTGTTATGGTTTTATCCTTTTAACGCTGAAATCTAATAGAAGGTATTGATTAAAATGATTTAAATAGTTCAAGGGGTAAATAAAAAAAAAATTAAAGTTTAGGGTACAATTCAAAACAAACAGCAAAGTTTAGGGGACATTTATGTTGTTTACCCTAAATAGATAGATTCAACATCCATGCATAACGTGCAAACAGTGGCTTCCATTCTGCCAAGTTTGGCCTTTCTCAAACAATCGGATATGGTCAATACTGTAACTTTGAACAATGCTTTTAGTTTGTCTATAATGTTAGTCTACTTATCTGTTACATCCGAGAGGCTCTACTACAAACCGAGGCTTACAGGCTCTGATAATTTATCATCTTTTTATATTACCTCTATTGCATTTCTATTGTGATTTCTCATGTCCATGTACAATCGGAGTAATGATTTGTTGTACAGAAACAAGATCGTCGTCACGTCCAAGTACTATGACTCAGGGAGGATTCAGGAATTTGGCATTAGGCGGGCGTCAGAACATTGCACATGAGCAGAATGCAGAAAGTTGTCAAGTCTACGAACAATTTCAAATATCTTCGTGTCCATGTTTAAAGTATGATGTGCTCTGACCTGTCTAAATTTAATCCTGTTTACATCTAGTATGGCCTCATTTACTCTATAAAACACTTTAGAACCTCCTAAAAGATCTCCAAATTTACACATCACAAAAAAAAAAAAAAAAAAACTATATAATAGTACACATAATCCAGCTTACACCAAACACACCTACAATTCAGATCGTTTATATCTGAGAACTTATTATCAATAACTCAACCCATGTATTAAAAAAAAAAAGCGTATTATGCACAAAAACACCCTAGTATATGTATATGAGAGGAGAGAGAGAGAGAGAGAAGTCAGTGCCCTTAATTCCAAGCCGAGTTCATATTGTCTACTCATTGTTTTTACAAGTACAAGTGGCTCTAAATGCACTCTTACTGTATATATATATATACTGCCCACTACATGTCTGGAAGGAATGCAAAGAAGCCCCAACATGAAGACATCCACATAGATCCTCATGTTCAAAAGAAGACAATAGTAAAATAAGGTAAGATAACATCTAATCTTTCTTTCTACTTTCTACCTCCATTATTGCCAAATCTTCAAAGCCCACCACTCCTCCACAAAACCCCATATCAGAACACAGCCAATATAAAATAATTCTGTCCCCACTCACTCCAACATCTACATTCTATAATGAAGATTATCATTCACTCAATTCTTTTGTAGAGGAAACACACCTTCCTTGGTGGGTTCCATCTTTTTTGAACAATCCATACCTACTTGACATGAAAGGTTTTGCAAATCACTGTGCCAGTATACCGAAAAGAAAATAACCAGACAAACAACTAAAAACATGTTTGACTTTTATTTTGTATAAGTGATATACGAACATGCATATCTGTACTACATCTATCAGATTATACTTGAAAGAATAAAGCGAGTCTGGACACGCAAAAAAACAACATTGCAACAATAGATACTACTTAAAAGTAAGTTACAACGACGCATGTACACTTTCCCACTCTAATAGGCTCTTACGCTTCGGTTGAAAGGCTTGAAAATTACCGAGCCCTTTATAACATCCTAAAGCAAAAAAACCATACTTTACCTGGTCCCCAAAAAGTAAGCTGAACGGTTGTAAAACTTGTACAGCAGTAATGGCAGGCAATCCAAATAAATTGTAAGATCAGGATTTGACTGTAAAGGAATCATCTTGGATTGTCAACCTTGTAAATTTTTAGTTACTCCAATGAAAACCATGTAAAGTTGGTTCTATTTGGAAAGATAAACAAAAAGGAGAAAGTTGAGTAAGTGGGGAATCCTGAGGTTGACATGGGCAAGGTGAATGATGACATAAGCATTGTCCCCTTGTGCATCAAGCACCAATGGGTGGGGACAGTAAACAGAACTGTGAAATAATTTTAAGTCTAATCTCACTTCCACCTATTGTAAGATCTCTGATCTTTATTTATTCTTTCCTATCTGATCTAGCCATTTAAGAGTCAGCCACAGCCACCCCATAGAATCTCTCCACCCATTCCGGAATTCCTCTTCCTTCAAAACCTTCCTTTAACCTAAGGCTTGAAGAGGACATGATTTTCAATACGGAAGAAACATCCAGCACTGTGAAAGCCAGCGAGGATATTGCTCAAGGAAGTCCAGCTGTTAGTCCAGAAGAGTGGCTGAATTTAAGCCTGGGACGGAATCCATTATCAACATCTGATGACTCTGAATCACAATCAAGACCAACCTCAACCAAGGTTTTTTCATGCAACTTCTGCATGAGGAAGTTCTTCAGTTCACAAGCATTGGGGGGTCACCAAAATGCCCACAAGAGGGAAAGAGGCGCAGCCAGACGATATCAGTCTCAGGGGATGATGACCATGGCGGGTTTGCCTACTCATAATCCCATGTTCAGAACACTTGGTGTGCGGCCACACTCCCTAGTGCAAAAACCAAGCAGACATGGAACAGCAACTGTGGCAAGATTTAATGAGACTAATACAGGGTTTGGAATGGCATGGGAAACCCAGCCATGGGAGGAAGCAATGGATTTGATGTGGCCGGGAAGTTTTCGCTTGGATCCACAAACATCAGAGCAGCCATTAGATCCACTTAAGCTTGACTTAAATCTCAGGCTGTAAACAGTTTATCCATCTCTTATATTACAGTTCTTTATTTCTTCCCTATTAGTATGTCTAGTTGATTGATCATAACCTGTTTCATTGACTAACTTAAATATATGAACACAACTGAAGAGCCAAAATTATTGACAGTTGTGCTAACTAATAAAAGTTGCAGCACATCACAAAAATTTTCGGCTCTTTATGCATACCATAATACCAACAAAAACCTAAAGTGCAGTGTATTTTCTCCGTTACTTCTAATGCCGCAGTGCCTGAAATAATTCCTGATGGCAGAATACCTGTCATTAAGTTTTCAAGGTTTTCTATTCCCATTACTGTTTTCTGATTATCTTCCTATATTAGATTTTCTCTTCTCCATCAAGTATTATAGTGATAATAAAGTAATGAGCAAGGAGTAACTGATGAATACTGTCATCCTACTCTTGACAAACAGATGAATTATAAGAAACCATGTATTTCTAAAGGAAAAAACTGGAATCATACTGCAAATAGAGCAGCAGAATGAGGCCATAGGAGAATATGAATGCAATCCAAGACTCAGAAAGTGTGTGTGATATGGGACACATATAATTTTGTATGATAGCCTGCAAACAACTCCTATATCAGGCAAACTATCCAAACTTACTGCAGTATCCAAGCCCACAAGTTCAGCAGAAAAAGATGAAAGAACAGGAAAAGCTCTCTCTCTCTCTCTCTCTCTCTCGTGGGGGGAAGGAGGGCCCCCGCCGGCCCTCAAAGCATAGTTCCAACATGTCCTTTTAAAACCAAATGTTTTGGACCCGGGTATCAAGGGTGCAGGAAGGGTGGAGTGCGTAAATACCTGACATTGCATTATTTGATCAAAGTGCTCAGTTGCCCTCAAATTCAAAGTTAAAACCTTAAGGTTATTCTCTCAAGCATTTTACCACAACATTAGGCAATGAAGATGGTATGTAAATTTAAACCACAGGCCTTCAAATTCTAAATACTTTTATGTTCAGTCCTACACCCTAGACAGCTTTCTATAGATGCTTCTAATGTAGAGCATGGACAGCTTTCTATAGATGCTTCTAATGTGATTACTCTATCGTTCTCATTTTTCTTCTTTAATACATGCTAGATGACTCGATCTCCACACTTTCAAAGTTTTAAAACACACAACTTCTTGCTTAGTTTGTGAAACAATCATACAAACCTAAAAGTCAGACATCGTTACCATTTTTATTTATTTATTGCTAAATTAGGCATGTTAAATTGTCATCATATAGTGCAAAAATGCACCTCAACTCTCTTCTGAGGTTATTTGACAGACAAAATAATTGAACCTAAGAGATGAAGGAACACAACAATGTACGCATCACCATTGAACTCTCCATAACATAGAATAATTTTGCTCTTTGCCATTAAAATTAAGTACAATTTTCTTCATGGCATAATAATCACAAGGATCAGTCACAGCTTACAGGTTATCAGGGATCTTAAGCTTTTGGGTCTTCTGCATGATGATGGGAAGCCTTTGGCTGATGTTGCTTGGATCATTATATGCAGCAGAATCAGAAGGATATCCTTTCTGCACCATTGAATTTGACCAACAAATGCATTTTTAATTATAACACTTCAGAGTGAAAACAAAAAAAAAAAGTAACAAAGAAAACCTGCTCAATTTTTCCAATCATAACAAAAATTAAAAAATGGAAAACATAAAGAAATTTGAGAATAAGATCACAGTAGATCTTCTCTCCTCTATTTTGGGTTGACAATAGGGTGGCAACATAAATCTTGTTTCGCAATTGAGCTGTGTCTGGTACCATATTTTCTGTTAAACCATCCACTATCATATTGTTTTTTAATATTCCAATCAAATTGAACATTGGTTTAACTCCTAATTCAATCATTTCTTCTTTTACCACACACCAATTTTAACATAAATATTCCAATCACATGCATTTTCTTTTAACTTTTCTTTTTTAGATACCCAGAACTAAGGTATATGTCTATCATATAATACACTAGATGCACTACCCCCACCATTGCTAAACACCATCACCTTGAATAATCGATCCCACAATCGAAACTACTGAACCCATGATATCACTTGATTTCCAATTTTTACTACCTCATTCTTTAGATTTCTAATTTTACTAGAATTACACTCCATATATTTAGCTTCAGTTTACTTTTTTAAATCCACTTGGTACTTGAGCATCTCCCCAAGCTTAACAACTAAACTACTCTATAGAACCTCATCTCGAATTAACATATCCACAAACAAGGCAAAAGGATAAAGGCTTAAGGCTAATACTTTCAAATATTGGTATCTTTAAATGAAAATGACCAGAGGCTTAACAATTTTGTTTACAGTAATCTCTTATGGAGACTTTGATACAAATTACTGCAGAAAATCCCTACAGAATTCATGAAGATTATCATACTTTCCACCAGAAGAATTCATTAAATGATTAAGATGAGGATGGCAACAGAATCATTCAGGACAAACTGAACAGATAGTCCATTCATCCAACACAAATTCAAAAGAAGAGAGGATCAGCTTTCAAGTTTTTACAACTTTTTGACTTTCGATGGATCAAACAACCAGATGGTCACTCGCATCATGCAGAAAGTGACAAACATCTCTTTAGGTCCCAAATTAAATGAAACAATGAAAATATCGGAGGATAGCAACTAGACAGATTGATAATCATCACATCAGTTAACAAAGAGAAATACAATATTTGCATGCAGAGGTAGGGATAGAGAGAGAGTGTGTACTAACAGAAGACAACGCTTGAAATGTGGCTTCTCTCCAACAGCTTTCTCGAAGAATAATGGGTTTTGCACTGTCCCGGAAAACACAGTGCATACGAGTCTCCCTTAATCTCATAAGTACCCCATCAACTCTAAGCTGGAAGAAGAAATGCACAATTCAATAACTGGAAGAACAATGCATCGAAAAAGGGCGAGCAGAGACCTGAGCTCAATAATTCAGGCACTTAAGAGTTCAGATTGTTAAAAAAAGACGCACTGAAGTATGAACAAAGCTATATGTGAAAAGTTACTGATTTACTAGACTAACTCACCCAGAAACGCAAGAGAAGGAACCAACAACTAGGCATGACTCTCTACAAAATCACAACATAAAGCAATCAGTCCTCAGTCATCTAAAGGACGCAGATTATATTGAAATGGCCTCAGACAGCAAATACTCAGACATGTACCACTTTGACAGTTAAAAGTGATACTCCATTATCAGCCAATTCATCTTCATACAACACAACCTGTTGAGAAAAAATGACAAGTTTGGTAATTGCACACTAAAATATATCAGACAAAGAAAATAGAAGAGTAAGTATTTGTCTTATCTGCTCCTAGCATCATCTATTATGTATGTCACAAACCTCATCATAGAAGAGGATAGGCTCTTTTGATGCCAGTGCAACCACATCAATTTGCTCTTTGCAGTCCTCCCAATGAAGACTGCAGCTGCCATCCTCAGAAATTGCTCCTCTTCCATGCTGATCATTGGTATAACAGAAGACTAATGTTACTACAATAAGAGATAAATTGGAGCAATATCAACCCTCCGTACTCAAATTTCCATTTAAGCGTCTGCTGCAATATAACTAGTAGCAAAAGACTCAACAACAGGGAAAAAGGATACTTTTGACAATCACTCAAAGTTCTGACCCAGCCATTTTAATTTAAATCGTAATATATAACTAATAACCTTGAAAGAAAAAAACATCTCAACTCGAGGACAGTTACACCCAGATATAATAAAGGGAGAGCACAAACCTCTGAATTTTTTTCAAGAGCTTGACTTCCACAATAAGGGGTTGTGAAAGTATAGTCATAATCCAGTATAACCTGTTGGGAAGGTTTGCTACAAATAAAGAAAACGAAGAGACATTATAGCATCCCTTCAGCATCCACACCCCACACTGGGGTTGTTACACAAACTGTATCCAAGTTGAAAACAATTACTGTCTAAAAATCAATAATCAGTCTCAGGCTGCACGTACAACTCAGGTCAGACAAATGTGGATCAATACAATGCCACCAAAACCCAAGAGGTAAATTGGATGAAAGCATCATGGTGTTCCCCTAAACAGATGTAGTGACTTGTTATTTAACTTAGCAAGTTAAGAATGCTAAGCAACACGTGAGAGAGAGAGAGAGACAGAGAGCTATCACCTTCAACTGGCAATTGGGGCAGGCCATGCTGCCACATACAGACTGACAAGCACAGTAAACAGAGTAGACAAGACTATTTCACGAATTCATATATTTTGCCCCCATCCTCCACCCCACCCCACCCCAAAAAAAAAAAAAACCAAAAAGAATTACAGGGAAAGAAATGAAAAATGGCATTGAACAATTGAAGTGGGCAAAAAGTTTTCGAACTGTATATGCCAGACGAGAGGTATCAGCTACATTTCAGCACTACCAACATTTTGCTGTTCATAAAAACAATAGCAGATCTACCAGCATTACAGAATGTCCTGTGCATGTGATGTCATGAAAGGGGAATATATTTTTCATGGATGACCTAGGAAGAATAAGCAACACTTTACAACAAAACTTTGAAAGGGTGATGGGAATGCATCAAAAACTTCTTACTAATTCTGGTTTTGCTTGTGGTGCTTTCTGATGGCATTATCCAGTACCATACGGGTTATTTAGCAGTAACCCAGAGCTTCCATGGCATTTGGACTCTTGGGGGACTAAAAGGAGGGTGCTCAAGGCGTGGACAGCAGTCCCCATTTGTTTTCCGTGGATCCTTGGAAGAGAGTATAATAGACAGGCTTTCGACAGGGAGTTGATCCCCTTTCTAAAATTAAGATTTAAAGAATCTTTTAGTGTACTTACAATTAGATGAAAGGGTCATGCTTCCCACCCATTAAAAAACAAGTGACTTACTTTAGAAAGATGTTGTTTGCATTCTAACAGATAGCAAGTGAAGAGTATATCTTCGCTTGTACAAGGATTGTGTACCCCTTTTTAGTGCCTCCAAGTGACTTCTGCTTAATACTTGCACGACAAATAAGTACTGAGCAGTGATTTGGTTTCCATCAGGAGGACAGGTTTCATGTTTTCCACTCTCCCGTGGACCATGTTATGTATCTTCCTCTTGATAAATTAAGCTTCTGGCAAATTTACTACTTTACAACCAATTATGGCACAACTCATATTCAAGCATGAAAAACCCAATTTATAAAAATCAATCTGATCATCTTCTGAGCGAATTTTAGTTACAATGAACAAGAGCAAACAGTAAGAAGATTCAGTTTGGTAGGATAAAACATAACTCACTACAGATATGAGTAGTGCAAAATACCAATCAGAACATAAAAAATAAAAATTCACTGGGTAAAAGAAGAGAACACATCGCGATTGTGCATTCCAGTTTGGCAAAAATACTAGTGTGCCGGCTTAATTTTGGAAACTATCATAACTTGTTTGTATAATACATAAATCCCCCTTCTTATGACGTAAACAATTTGCTTGTTAATATACATATACAATAAAAGCTTACGGTGTCGGTAAATAAAAGAAAAAAGGCCACATCTATAAAGTGCCCTCATTTTTTAAGGTTATTGGCTTAAGATTGAGGGTGAAAGCAATTTTATTAGACAGGGTAATAATTTGACAAAGGTATAAACTCTTCTTATAAAAAGGTGATTGCAAGTAATACTTTGTGATGTATAAAACCTGACTGCAACACATAATCTAATCAGGCCCACAATCAAAAGCCCCATATGGCAACTCCCTCTACACCTAAAAAAATATTACCAACACAGGCCAACTATGGCATAACGAACAACAGAAATAGCAATGGAATTTTGACATAATTAATTTTGTAGACAAGTTTGTTTTATATCAGAATCTTGCCAACAAAACCTATTATCTTCCACTAATTCGGTCTTCCAAACATTCCCAACATGACATTTGCATCACTATCAAGCAACACCTAACCATGTTCACAGCATATAAATCATTAGCTTGACTTTGGTGTCACATACTCATGCATGATCTATAAAACAAAATACTAATGAGAACAGATTTGCAGTTACCTTCTAAATTTCCATTCTGCTGCAGCAGGAACTTCAACCGGTGGCAATGCTTCCTGCTTCCAGCCAACCAGAGCATCAAATGTATTAAAATAAACTCTAATGCCACTATTCACATGCTTACAAACCAAAGAACTGTCCCCAAAAATCATCTCCGGCAAGTGGGATGTCTGAAGCTTCTGTTCCCACCTGCAAACATATCAAACATTTGTATCAAGTAAGAACACAGACTTAGGTGTATGCAATAAATACACCCCACATAATGAATAACATACGTGCTTAACCAAAACACTGCAGGGCATCAGTGTTGTCAAGACCCAAAATACTATGTTCACAATTATCAATTAGCAACTCAAACAACACTATTAACAACTAGCTTCCCAGTTAATACTTCAAGATTTTCTGACCTTCAAATATGACAGTCTACATCACTAGGTCTGCTCAAGTCCTGGACCAACAAACTATGCAAGACAAGGGAGCAAATCAAAGCAGATACAAGGATTTTGAGAAACAGTATCAGATCTAATATTAGCCAAGGAGAATATGAAAGGGAAAGGATGCACAACTCATAGGTAGGCTCAGCATCTATGAGCCAAACATTAGGCAGGTTGTAGGATAACAAAAGAGAAGCGATCTACTTCAAGTTCAACACGCCAACCAAATAGACAATAGTAGAAAATATGATAACCAAAAGAGAGACTCAAATCGACCAGAATAACTAGATATAAATCATTTAGCGGATGCCAGAAAGTCAGCTTCTTTGAGCGTTTGCTGAACCAGTAGAGACAAACTAATTAACCAAACGAACTAAAGAGATACCTAAAATTAATAACTCATCTACGAACCCGATTTATATATGTTACACCAACAAAATCTGTGCATATAAGATAGAGATGCTACACAATATTGCACTTTCTAGTGCTCCACATTTAACATTCTAATTTCATAAAGTATTAAATCACAAACACTATAACTGCCCACTAATTAGGATTTAGGGGTGATAAATTTCGACACGACACGACACACAACAACACGAATTAATGGGTTTGGGTTAACTATTTTTTGACATAAAACCGTGTATGGCTCAACCCACCAACACGAACTATTAATGAGTCATGTTAGGGTTCAACCTGTTTAACTCAAATTGACCCGCCACAATATAAATGACCCCTAACCCTAAAACCCACCCCCCATTTCACTTTTTCATTTTGCTCCTTCCCTCCTGGGCGACCGAGTGACCGACTCACTCTTCTTCATCCCCCTCTCTCTCTCTCGAGCTGCAAAATGGCAGATCTACACTTGACCATTAATTCTTCAAATCTACACTGCGAATTGGTAGACCCAGTTCTTTAGTCAGTGACTCTCATCAAATTTACACTAGTGTTGTGAAAAACGAGCTTAAGCGAGAAGCGAAGCGAAGCGAGCCTTGGTGGCCTTGAACATCCCAGGTGAAGTGAAGTTAAGTGAAGCGAGAAAAAAGCAAGCCTAGGCGAAGAAGCGAGCCAGACGAGAAAAGTGAACGCCTAACTACAGTGTTTTTATTTTCTCCTCCTCCCCCCTTCCTCCTTGTTCTTCTTCCTTAACATTAACCAAACACTAGTAGAGATGATGTTATATGTGTATATATATAAAATAAATTGATTAATTCATCTAACATAACATATAACAATCTGTCTTATTATGATTAGATGATGTTGAATGTTTTATTTTGGTGTGAATGCTCTTACTAATCAATTTGCTACATGCTCTATTTAATTAATCAATTTGTGAGCGCTCTATTTAGTTGTGATATTAATCAATAACGGTGGAAATCGAACCCACATTTGCTAGCTTTACATTTGGATGAGATTATGTCAATCGGTTATTTTTTGAATGCAATAATGTTTAATATTTAATATTTTGTCTATTTAAAATATGTTGATATTTATTATTTTAGTTGCATTTAAATATTTTGTATTTGTAAAGATAAAACTTGAATATTTATGAGTAATCAAAGTATCAAACTAAAATATTTGCTTATATTTTATATTGTTCGCTTTGTTTCGATGAAGCGTTCGCTTCGCTTGTCGCTTCTCGTCTAGGCCCTCAAGAGATTGGTTCACTTCGATTCGCTTTACGCCTTAAATAACACTGATCTACACTAATGCTTTAAACTCTTCAGATCTACACTTGGCCATGGATTCTTCAAATCACACTAATGCTTTATTTTTTTTCTTTCTTGATTGCAGAAACATGGGTTTGAGAAATAGATCTACAATAATGCTTTAGATTCTTTAGATTGCATAAAATGGGTTTTTTCCTTCTTGATTTTTCAAATTGCACTAATGACCCTTGACAGCTACTGTATTTTCATTGCAGAAACATGGTTTTTAATTGATGCAATCTATAAAAACATATTATATTTGTAAAAAAAAAAGTGTATTGTGTTCTAGTTTTTTTGCTGTGATGCTCAATATGGAATCCTAGAAGAATTATGGAATATTTGTTGTTATACAAGGGTTTTCATTTGTAGTGATATATGGGTTTTCATATGAAATTTTTGATTTATGGGTTGGTGGGTTGGGTGGGTCATGCTAGGCGGGTTAGATCGTGTTTACCCAAACACAGATGATCAACCATTAACAAAATTCCAATATAGAAATAACTCAAATCATTCGCTTGATTTTGCATTTGATACTAAGAGCATGAGAGTGAAAGTAAACTCCACTAAACTTGACACCACCTACATAGGACTAGTAAACACATGCAACGCAAACGGCTCAGCTTCAAAACAATTTTGGCTCATTTTAAATTGCAAAATAAACTAAACTTGATCAGATTTCTAGCTCTTTTCGCAAATCATTAAAAAATCCAAGTGATGCTTGGCTTAGCCAGAGTAGGTTATCCCCGTTTGAATACATTTCTCTCTACACATAATTTCTAATGAAAGTCAAAAGTTATCCCAAAATAGCTCCAAATCATGCTGATTTCAGCTCAAGTTTGGTCGAATACAAGCAAGATTCTACTTTGCTAAGCTGAGTTTGAGCAAAAATCTAACCTCAAGAGGAAAGTTTGGCTTGAGCTCAGCCGGGAACAATGAGCTAGAATTCAAGCATGCTAAATCTCAATAAACTCAGTTCGATTAATACCCCTACACCAACATATGGATGCTAAAATTATATTAATTCTTAGTCCAAAGCTAAAGTTTTTGAAGTAGATTAGAATTCAGAAACCACAAAACTATAACCATCACCTTATTATATGCACTTTTTCAGCCATGGACTCATCACTGCAACATCTTCTACTAGCCGATAATAGCTTTACGATAGATTTCTAGAAAAATGTTGTAGTGGATCTTATGATACCCAAAAATGGCATCACGAAAAGTAAAAGAATTTTTTCATAAATAGTTTGTGAAAAGAGCCAACACAAACTAAGGTTTATCTCCCTACCTTAAGTTGTACATCCAGCCTCAGGTAAAAATGTCAAAATAGTTCACGTACAACCTCAGCCAAAGGAATCCAAGTCATCCACGTCCGACCTCATATACAGGTATCCAGGTCGTCCATGCTACATAATGAGGAGATACAACATCTCCAGCTCAGGTCAGTATTTGGATCGAGCTCCTTTATTCATGAGTTTCCAAAAGTTTAAGAGATCATCCCAAGCAGAATTACCTCACAGCAAGACCTTTCATAAATATGGAAGACCGCGACATACTTAAGCTCAAAGGCAGATCACAATGCCACAACAGCATGTTCTAGAAAGTCACATCATACATAGAAAATATAGTCTCAAACAGTTCAATATTCTCTCAACAAAATTTTAATAAACTTGGGGACCATGTCATAATGACGTGAGGACCACCCCACCTGTAGTTATAAATACGAGGGTATTCACCCATGTAAAACACACACAATGACTTGTAATCTCTGCAATTGTAACCATATCTTTTTCCCCAAGCAATAGAAGACTTTCCAAAAAGTAAGAGACTTCATTATAATGGACTAGCCAAGCTCTTCAGCTAGTGAACCACCATAATCCGTGTTCTTACTTGTTTCCTAACTCTTACCCATTTTATGCTCATTGTAGCATATCATTGAGTCTGGCTCAATCATCTTTTTGATTTGTTCTTCACCGTTCACTCACATACTACTGTTCCTAAACCTTAAGCTCTTTAGTTCAAGCATACACCTTACATGTCAACTTCATACATCATCCGTCAAATGTAAGAACTAAGAAGTAAAGAAAAAGGAAAAACAATAAATACAACCCAGATCAATTTCCTCACACGCTGGCTTTACACAAAATTTAATGTCTGTTACCTTCAGAATGCAGATGATTTGACCATTACAGAAGCTAAAAAAATCTTTCCACCACTTCCATATGAAGAGCTCATAATGTAATAAAAGCCGATTTTTGTTGTTTCTTACATAGTTATTTCATTAGCTACTTGCAACTAATCCCAAACAAAAAGAAGACCATTCCAGCAATGTTATCCATCACATAAGGTTGGTGGAGGAGTGGACCAGGTTCAGACCTAACATCCAATTTGAACCCTCAGCCAGTGTTAAGCTCTGACACTATCCCCTCTCGTTGATATAAAATCAAAAACATCTTCATCCCAGATTTTTCTCTTCCAGATAGGAAAATGGACAGTTTGAATCATTCAATTTCTTCCTAATCCATTTTATAACGAAAAATCACAACATCCTATATAACATCTAATACATATCGAGGAAGACTTTTGTACAACTTTGATCAGTTTATGTAACGCTTTATATGTTTTATCAACCAAATTGTTCTTGCTTATCAAAAAAACTAATATATGGAGGAAGAGTTGGAGAGAGTACTGTTGAAGACTGAGAGAGTTGAGAATGGGACGCTTGAAAGACTCGATCTCCCAACCATGAATACGCACTCCACGCCGTCCGTCAGGTAGCAGCTCAGCTCCGGCGGCTTTCAGTTCTCTCTCGTCGACCTCCCACTCCATCTCCGATCGTTCTCTATCTATCTCTCTCTCTCTCCAGGTGCAGAGGAGGATTGTTCACCCTAAATGGAAAGTTTGCGGTTGCAGAAGACTTCAGTTTCTTCTTCTTTCACGGTCACCGTCTCTTCTGAGCAACGGAAATACAAAAACATGACAAAGGTTTTTAGGTTTATTCTCCGTGATGATGCGAATCTTGGGCCGTTCATTTCTGGGCCCTTAAATAGGTAAACGTATGGGCTTTGATCGTCATAGTCCAAACAAGTCATAAAATCGGATTGAGTGGACGATTTGATGCGGCCGTCGCTTTATGGAATACAGGGCTGTTAGTCGAGCCGACTTTGACGATGTCGAAATCGTGTCTGTTGAACTCGTTGTTTCGAGTGAGTTAAAAAATTATTCAAGATTGACTTATTTAAAAAATGAGTCAAATGTAAGTAATTTGATTATTTTATATATAAATAAATCAAATTTTTTAGTCTAAAAAATTGTTTAAATTCGATTTATTTATAATACAAGTCAAGTTCGAGTCAAATTCTATCCGAACAAAACTCGATTAACTCGACTCGACTCGACTAACAGTTCTAATTGAAGATTTTGCCTATATTATATTCTGTCTAATAATTTTTCAAAAATATATTTTTTTAAAAAAAAAGTAGTTTCAAAAAAGTAAAAATATATTAACTAAAAAAAAAATCACACGTATCCCAAAGATTTAAAAATTCTCACTTTACATCCATTTTTAACGTTCCATTCTCAATCTGTTAAAATGTAACCTTTCATTAACATTCGTTGCTTATTTAATCAAAAATCATCCTAATTAACATTAATGGAATAAACAACGAAAAAGCCACATTTTTTTTAAACATTTATAATACATTAAAAATACAATATAAAAATCTAGTAAATTCTTGACCAACTTATTTATCATTGGGGTAGGGAGAGATGGGGATTTCAAAAGTACACGAGCAGGCCCCGTTTGGGCTGAGTTAAAATAAGGTGAATGGTTTTTCTCAACGACCTACTATTTTGAGTTTCGATGTCCATTGATTCAATGTGTGATTGAATGATCATCGATTTCCTTGTCCATCCTTTTCTTGCCTCAAACCAACGCCGGTAAGTTCACTAAATGTAAAGAATTCTTGCTAAAAGTGATGGTCATCACAAGAGCCGTATAATTGCTGAAAAATGTTTGCTGACATATCAGTAAATACGAAGAATCGCCATAGATGCCCTGCACAACAGCTAATATAATCTTCTGCCAATGTATATAAACTCAATATTTTCAGAACTGTTTGTGGATGAAATTCAGAATACATATCATAATCAACAATGGAAGAAACAATGAAAATTTGATTCATCTCTTTTTCATAGTAGGATTGCATTCAACCTGTGTTTCCAAGACAATTCAGAATGAAGGGATCATGATATCTCGAAATGTGAGCTCCATTTTCATTGCATGACTTCACCCCAACCCCGGCCAGGCCTATGCAGCAGGGTAATGCCTTAGAACCCTGCGTGTTCCCATGCTCAAACTACTAGCCATGCAAACTACACTTTGGTCCTGCTCAATCAAGTACACTGTCTCGTGTAAGTAGGTCACCCACCAACCAATCCATGTAAGAGTCGTCGTGGTCAGATAGGAGCAGTTATCTTTGTGCATGAGCATTGAATTACAGAACGACGTTGCAGGATTACCTTCTCAGCGAAAAGAAACCCTTCCCATCAACTTCAGTTACTCTTCTGAATAAATTTTGCTCTTTTTAGCTGTTGTTGCAGTTTCAAGTATTCACTGATCAAAATTGTTGTCTGAGGACTATATCGAATTTCAAATAGTCAAGCAATAGACTTCCTACTTCTTGTCTGCATTCTGTCACTTCTTTTCACTTGCTGAGCTGATGGTGGGTTATCTTGCACATTCTGCTTTGGCGTCTCCCCAATACTTGAATTCCGACCTGATGCCCTCGGTTCCGACTTACATTTTCTCTTTCTGGGCTTTGGGGTTACAGATTTCTGTCCACTGGCCTTCTTGGACACCAGATTTCCTGTCCTTCCATCTCCACTGCAGCCTTCTTTCCAAGTTTGAACCCCATTGCAAGCAGCACCCTTTGCAAGCATATTAGGTTCAGGCTCTAGTGGTTTTTTATTTATTTCAGGTGGCGGAGTGCCCCTGTTTCGGCTACTTTCAGCTATTTGTGATTCCATGTGTAATGAATGGCGAGAACTCCAACGAGCATTTTCGAACCATTTGCTGACCTACATAAAAACAAAACTTTGTAGGGAGAAGAGCGAAGACATAAGGAGGAGAAGAAACCATAGCCCTCTGTTAAGTCATAAAGATACACACCTGCTGGACTCTGAGGCCTAATTCGTTCGCTAAATTCTCCTTCACGGCTCGCTCAGGGTATTGATTTATCTTAAATGACTCAAAAAGTCTCTGAAAAATTTAATACCCATCAGGAAACTGGTCTATTGCAATGTGAAAACACCAGAAACGATAATCATGACCATAATTGAAAGCATGGACAATTAACTTAGTGAGGATGTACAAACTATTTTTCGTAAACTATTTCATATTTGTCCATATTTTGGTATTATATAATGCTTGCTGCTGCATATAGCTTGGAGGAAAGTAAGTGTTAGCTTCAGATAATATGTCCAGTCTCAGACTCGGTTAATGGGCCAATAAGACTGAAAGAACAATATCATGGGATTGATCCCAACTTGTGTTCAAATAATAAGACACCCTATATCTTGATTCATTTACAGTCTTTCATCCAAATTCAGAATCAAAAAATGGAAGGTAAGCAATGCAATACCTGAGTTACAGCTTCACCAAGCCTTTTATGTGGTGATGTAGTAATACTTTGACCACTAGAACCAGGTTCAGAAGAACCTTTTTGAGATTTAGCAGGTGAACTATATGTGTCTTCAAGATCTAGCTTCTTTTGATTTCTTCTCTTGGGAGTTTTTTCATTTTCATTCTGGTCATACTTCATATCCCTAGCATTTCTCACCTTCTTTGCCAAGGGAAACTTTCCATTGGGTGACACCGAAGCAATTTTCCCAGTCTTATTCCTTCTTTTCTTTGGAACAGCGGCATCTGTAAAATCTTCATCACTGGAATCAGAAGAAACATTTCCGTATGCTTCCTTCATAATCAAGTATAATGAACTAAAGTCAGTAACCAGGGAGGAAAAAGTAGCCCAGCCTAAAGATAAAACTTGGCTAATGATTTTAGTCAATTGAAAGTTTTTGAGCAAGATGACCAGTATGGACACGGTGCCAAAATCGCAAGTTTTCTCGATGTTAAGCATCAGAATTAGGTGAAAATAAAAAAAATAAAAAAGCTTATGCTCATCCCAAATAAAAGTAGATGTACTCATGATGCATATCCATCAACATAAGCATCAAGGAACAAGAGGTAAATAGGTAGATAAATGAGCACCAGAATCAGCACTTATCAGAAGCGAATAGAGAATTAAAACCAGATATAAGACTGCATATTTACTAGTGTCCAACACAATAATGATAGATAGGCTATGAACCCATTGCATACAAGGATTTGTATTGAAGAAATGAGAAAAAACCAACATAGCTATGGTTGCTAATTTATTATTCCAATTTCTATACATTATGCATGTATCCAGGCCTGTCAATGGATTGGATTTTGATCCAAATCCGATTGGTCAAAATAGGGATTGATATTTTTTACTGATAAACCGAGCCCAAATTCAACCGAATCTGAATTAATAATATATATTTGAATTTTATATCTACCGTTCAATCATTTAAGATTTGATCTTCACCTTACATTTTAACCCTAAAGGACAAGTCTTCCGGATTCTTCACTTCTCAAAGACAGATTGTAGATCTGTCCATCTTCCACTTCTTCTCCACCCCTTATCTTCACTTTGCAAAGACAGATTGTAGGTCTATCCATCTTCCACTTCTTCTCCACCCCTTATCTTCACTTCTGTCCAGCAGAGGCTATCTCTGCTCCCTCTTTCCTTCCCTGCTGTTTTCTTCCTACTTATAAATCCTATCAAAGAATATCACCCTCTATCGTTATCTCATGTCTGCCTTGTCTCGGTCTCCTCCCACCTCTACATCACACCACCAGCTGTTAGATTTTAGCATTTGGAGAGTTACCATCAGCCCAAAACTCGCAAGTGTAGATGAAGAAAATTGGTGATTTTGGGGTTCTTCGCTTCAACGTGTAAAGTGAAAAAAATCATATCACAGGCTTTGGCTTTGTTTGGTTTGTGCTTGCTTCACAGGGTTTTAGTGATTTTTTTTAAATTAGTACAAATAGTTGTAATTGATGTAGCTAATTAAGGCTTCAAACTAGTAATCACTTTCAAAATTTCTTTGTGATGAAGTTGAATCTATTGCAATTTGTGAGACTAATCATTACACCAATATGCAGAACAGATTGGACCAGACCAGACCGGATATCCAAAAATTAACAGATTCGGATATGGATTGATTTTTCCAAATCCGTCAGATAAATGGATCAGATCAGATTAAACCAATTGTAATCAGATTCGGATTAGGATATGGCTCAATCCGGTCCATACCCGATTTGTTGACAGCCTACATGTATCCAGTATTTCCAATTCAGTATGTAACTTGTCTATCGGACCCAAAAAAAATTCCATATCAGCAAGTACATGTGGAGGACCACAACATTGGATTCATAGTATGGAAGGAAACTCACATCATGCAGCTTTTTGTAGTCCAACCTTTCTACATGTCTTCTCACAGATACATGTGCAGGAGCCGACTCCAAAATGAATGCCAGCTCATCACTTAAAGATCGTCTTTTCATCCCACCGAGTTTAGATCTGTCTCCATTAGAATTTGTACAGGGACTCACGTGATTTGATAATGAGGGTATGGGACCTTGATCTCTGCCTGAGAGTCTGCTATCATCAAATGCAACACTAAAATCCTCAGAGTCAGATGTAAAATCAGAACTAGAACTTTCCTGCTTAAGCTGCTCATCAAGATCTGGAGCATTAGGATCAAAATCATCATCCTCCGAATCATCAGAAGAAAGATCCAACTGTTCGTCATTCTTTGGGTTACCCAAACCCTCAGATGCAGCAGGGAAATCTGATCCATCAGAACTTGATTCTTCACTCTCAACCTTTTCATTCACCTCTGAACCATCAGGATTATAATCATCATCCTCAGAATCATCTGACAGACTTCCAAAATTATCATCTAGCTTATTTCCGCGTGCTGCCTCAGGAAAAACCTTCTGCAATGAGGAAGACCCCAAATGAGAAATGTCCGTAAAAGTAAGGTGCATGAGTATTCAACAAAATAAAGGGGATTTCGTGATTGACCTCCCAGCTCTCAGTGAGAGAAAGATTTGTTCCTAGAGAATCATTAAGCAAGCCAATACAGTCAACTTTGCAATCACATCCAGGACAAAGCCAGCCTTCATCATCGGGAGGAACTGTACACCAAAAAGAAAACAAAAAGAAAAAGAAAAAGAAAAACTAAGCTAAAGGAATTTGTTTTATTATTACTATCAACTGAATGGTTCAGATGTTACTGTCTTCTTTTAACAGTGGTGGTTCCAAACAAAACTGGTGGAATCCACGTTCACAAGCACCATCACAGAGTATGATATCGTTAGCCAATGTCACGTCCTTAAATCCACATTTTGCACAGAATATCTGCAACAAGAAGAATGATGTGTAAGCATTTGAGGGTACGAATTCCTAGTATATGCATACATCTAATTTTAGAAGTGATGTGATGTAAATAATACGGGAAAGCAACTCCTACATCCTCACTGTCTATCTGTCCATCAGAATCAAACAAAGATTCTGGAAGCTTTCCCTCAGCGCATGACAAATCAATGCGTTGAAACAATTCTCTTATTTTCAATTTGAGACGGAAAATTTCAGATTTAGCACGTTGAAGCTCCTTCTCTGGCTTTATTTTTTCCAGGCTGCAAAATTACCACAATAATGAAAGCCAGCAATGATGTATCAGATATCAGATAAGCTAAAAGCTCAAATTAGCCAGAAGCTCTGTCAAGACAGCAAGGAATTAACAATAAAAGGTATTTCCTTCTCCTCTGACTTCTATTATTTAAAGCACTCCACAAAAGAAGCAACTGCAACCAGGAACACAAAGCAGATGGGAATTCTGACTGTCAAGCAGTACCAGCCACTGATCCTGATACTGCCATGCCCAGGCAAATCTCAGCCACAAAAGCAGCAGGGACATAAATATGAAACTCATGCTTTGCAAAGTCCGAGAGCATGTGCAGAACAACAAAGCTCCCAGGCAAGAGTTTCAGCTGTTTACACTTGGTTAGTATCACAGCCAATAAAATTAAGAATATCAAAAATATTCAAAAGCATTAACAATCTCATCTGCAATTTGAATCAAAAACAAACAGCAGAATATAACTATTGATATATATAAAATACATTACATATTAGAAAAATATCAACATTCGCTAAATTGAAGATGAAATAACACCAGGCCATCGCATCTCAAGCCGACCACAAGAAGCATCTTTAAGCTCCATACCATCAAGAAGTCAGAGGACAAGTGTTGCATTTTAAAACTACCATTCCTAGCCCTAAATAGTCATATCTGTCCAACTTTAGTCTTCATGCATTCAAAAATTCAATGTACGCAATAGTCAGCACCAAAAATAATAAGGAAAGGTTGACTTTCTTATGAAAAATATGTATAACACAACAGCAACAGCAGTGCCACCCAAGAAAACAAAAGAAAGAAAAAAAATTCTGTTAGCATAGATTGGATTTAAAATACAGTACAAACCTTAGTCCCTTCCAGCCTTCACCAGAATAAGCATCAATAAAGTTTTGCTCATATTTCATCCGATGTAGCAAGTATCTCAGATGGGTCCTTATTCTTGAGAATTCATTGACTGGTTTTTCCTTCATCTGTTCTTTCCTCTTCTTTCTTTTCTTTTCTCTGTCAGCACCGTCTTCTGCTACATTATTACTTGGCTCAGGCACTTCAGATTTCTCTTTCGACCTAGAGCGCAAAATTCTGGCACTACCTACCGAAGATCTCAACGTATTTTTTCTTTTTCTTGATTGTGCCGAAGTCTCTTTACCTCCATTCCCCAACTGACAAGTATCCTTGTTTGTGTCTTCTAGTGTTGGTCCTGATTGTTCAAGACCAGAAACTTTGGAAGCATCATCAAGAGGTGGTTGCAGATGTTCAAGACTAGAATTCATAGCCACAATTTCAGGTGACAGTTCTGATTGCACAAGGATAGACTTCACGGCCAGATCTCCCAGGGGTGGTCCAATTTGATCAGCATCCGCATCTTCAAAAGACAGCCTCACTTGTTTGACATCTATTAACTCAGATTCCGTTGTCCAGGTTCTCAGTGGTCCTTTTGCGATATCTTCAATGCAAATAACCTCTTTTAGTTCCAGTTGTTTGTTATCGCCGCATTCATAACCTAATTCATGAGTTGGTTCAGACAATATTTGTCTAGGATTTGAACTCTCGGTGGTAACACTTTCAGCTACTACTCCCATCTGGATGAGACCACACTTAATACTGGCATCCACAAGTAGTGCTCCAAATGGTTCACAGCTTGAATTCTTACTTAAATCTTCTGAAAGTCTCAATTGCTCAACACTGATAGAGTCAGAAACTGGAGTTTTAGCTTCAGTCAGTCCTTTTCGCATATCTCTATCTGTTTCATGTTTTTGCTCCACTGGTACGTCAAATAGACTTCTAGGACCAAATTCATCTTTTAATTCTGATGTAAGTTTTTTAGGACTTGAGCTTTCTCCAGTTGGACTCTTATTTTGTACTGAAGGTACATCAATTTTCACCGCTTTAGACATTCCAATAGAAAGACTATGGTTAAAGAATATCCTCAATCCTGTATCATTTGAATTCACCAGTGTGTTAAATCATTAAATACAAAACCAAATTCCTACTCCCCTAATTTAGCAGCCCGGAATTGACATAGGCAGAGAACCAACAATAGATAACTGACCTTCGCCAACATGTAATCCACAAGAGTGTATGCGTGCGTGTGTGTGAGTGCGTGTATGCGTGGGTGGGTGGGTGGGTGGGTGTGTGTGTGCGCGTGTGAGAGAGAGAGAGAGAGAGAGAAGGGTACAATGTGGAAGTTTCATATGCGACCCATTTGAAACATTGTGATGTAAATTTGGACTGAGCCATTTCTTGTTTAGTGTTTACAGTTTATTTTTGGTTGATTTACCTCTTCTTATTACTAAGTCTAAAGGCACAATAAAAATATTCGAATGCATGATCAAGTGGTCTTTACTCAATAAGTTTTTGCTAAATGTGATTGGGCTACTTCAACTAAGTTTTGGTTGCCTTGACAAAGTTTAAATTTTAGCTGTTTCCTCCAAATAAAAATATCACTTAGAAACTAGCTCCCAATATTAGAGTAAAAAATCTTAATTTGATTCAGAGTACTCCAATAGACAAACTCAAATATCCACACAAATATTTCTAATTCTTCGCATACGCTCCAAATAGCCTATTTCCTTCAATTTTTTTCCTCCTGAAACTTTCTTCCCTCACTCCTTCATCTACTTCTTTTCCTCCAAAATCTTTTTTCCCTTACAATTTTCCCTTTCCTCAACTCCTCCCCCAAAATAAATTCTAGTTACAGATATGCCCATATCATTCATAATCATCTCGAACATTCTCAATATAAATGACATCAAAAGTACTCTTTGCTCACTTTTTTTTTTATCCCTACCAATGATTTTAAACAGAGATTGAATTATAAGAAAGCTGAGTTGAGAGGAAAGAGATGCAGAGAAGAGGGAGAGTGAATTGGCAGGTATCTAAATAGATTAGTATGGAAGAAACAGCGCGACTTAAGAATTTACAGAGGAGCACAGATAGTTCGGAGACAATGACAGAGGTTATGAAGTAGCGAAATATGATTGTTGGGTATTGGATAAAAGTTTGACATTCCCTTTATTTGAGTCAGGTTTTGGTTCTCCTTTCACCTGAGTTTGAGCAGAGGGGTGAAGTTTGTTTGGATTTCTATACATAGATTTGAATTCGAGTCAAGTTTCAGTAAGGACTAGAGATGCCCTAAATGCATTTATTATAATCAATAGAACATAAAGCTTTTGAAAGATTTCGTAAGTTAACTCTAAACCTAAGGAAACTCTCAGAATTTTCTTTCCATTTATTTTTTTCTTCTCTTCAAATATCAGCAAGAGGATTCTATAGTTAAATCGTTAATCTTTTTCCAAAAGTTTTAACATTCTCTCAGTCGTGTCCAGCAACACAAGTTCAAAGTAATTCTAGTATTTTAACAACATCAATCCAACCCCATTGAAATCCCTTCTTTCCTTTACAGCTTCGAAAAGGTATATATATCCGTGTGCGCATATGAGAGAGAGAGAGCGGAAGATGAATTGGAAGACTTACCTTATATATGTTTTCAATCCTTTATTTATCCTATAAGACCATCGCTGTCACACAAATTCACGCACAAACACACTCAGAAAGAAGGAGGTCGGATCAGAAAAATGGAGTTCTAGGGTTTTTTGAGCTGAGAAAAGTTCAATAAGAGCTATAGAAAGAGGGAGAGAGAGAGGTTGGGTGGGGAGGGGGGGGAGTGGCTATCTGCTTTTGTTTCCGAGATCTCTCTCTCTCTCTCTCTCTCTCTCTCTCTCTCTCTCCCACAGCTGAAAAAAGAGGAAAGCGGCACGGAGTCTGTGGTTCTGTGAATCAGGGGCCAAAGGTACACGCTTTATAGCGTAGAGCGTTCTTCTGGCAATTGCTCCCCGCTATCGTGTGCTTGCGGCGTAGAGTCGAGTGGGTGATATTTCCAGAGTTGCACCCATTTTGGGTTACGGAGCAAATAGTGTGCGGCCTCCCCAAGAACCGGCCTTTCAAGCGTGTCGGAATGGATTATTTTGTGTTGAATTAATTTGAAATTTATATCGAAAATTCTAAAATTTAAATCTGACATGTTTGATAATCGTATCAAGATATATAAACATTAAATTGATCTGGTCATTAAACGGATTACTCAAACACTACATGTTTGACATGTTTAATAAACAGATCGTTTTCGAGTTCACACACAACATAATCTGTTTAACACGCATAACATGTTTTCTCACCTATTTATTATCATTAATACATCATTCAATCATTCATCCAAATTTTCAAATAATTTTTTCACAAGTAACATATCACATTTCATCAAAGAAATTAATTAAAATATATTCAAGTTTTAACTCAAAAATTAAAGTAAGAACTATATTAATATACTGTCATAATAATGTCAAAAACTACAATATTACCATAGTAAAAGTAAGAACTAATAAATAATAACATTAAGATCATATCAATCATACATAATAGACAAATTATATTGTTATAAACGGATTTACAATGAGTTAGGTCTGGTTCGTGTCTGAATTATGTCAACCCGTTTAAAATATATAGGTTAATTAGATTAAAATCGGGTTTACCTAATTTTGACATGAATCTAACATGATTTTTTTCTTAATTAAGTGTGCTGACTCATTTTAACTCATTAACTCGTATAATTTTGTATTTGATTCGTATCGTGTTAACGTATCTTGTCAAAAATTGACAATCCTACCAAAAACTCTTGGGGGTACCAGTTGGGAGATTCACACTTTATATTCAGAAAAATTTTAAAATTCTCACTTTATATTATCAAAAATCAAAATTTTCATATTCCACTTTTAATATATCAAAATTATTATAATGTAGTTTTTCTGTTAGATTCTATTATTTTTTTCGTCAGTATCAATGGGATAATTTTTGACAAAAAAGTCACATTACAATATTTTTTATACATTGAGAATATAATATAACAAAATTTATCTTTGAAAATACAAGATAAAAATTCTTAAATTTTTCAATGTACAAAGTGCAATTTACTAAAATTAGACTCATGTCCAAGTTTTTTGTGTCTGTATTTAATCGAGTTGTGTAGACCTATTTATTGTATGAGTCCTAGAGGTTAACCCATTTATGATCAGAATACATTAACACTTAATTAATTTCATGCTAATTTTTTGTAAGATTGTTAGACATTGTTAACTTAAATTGGCGCTTGCCCGAGTGCTATCTTTAATATAAAATATAGTAAATTTTAATAACCCTATTCGACAGTTTTAAATAAACTCATCTAATGGTCACCAACATCCCTCTCAAAATTAATTATATTGCAACGTATCTTCATACACGAATTACTCTAATTTAATTACAAAGTAAAATTTGGGCTAGCCCCGTACATATGCTAGGTCAACCAAAAGGATGGCCCAATTCTAAGAGAATGCTCGATTGTGCTTGTGTAACATTAAGATACCGCAAAATAATTTTGAAAAAATTACAAATAAGTCTTATTTTTCTACTCAATAAATCATTAAATCTTATATGATATTTCTATTAAGACAAGAAGGTTTTACTTTTGACAATTTATTTTTAAAAAAGTCCTAAACTCCATCAACGATATTTTTTCTCAATTTTATCCTCCTCACAAAAGGATCATTTATATTTCTTCTAATAATTATATCATTAATTTTGATTTAATTGAAAAATATATTTATTTTTTAACTTATATATATATAAATATACTGGTCATTATTCGTGTTTGAATACACTATGTAACAAAAAAAAATATCTTAAAAAATTACACAAATTCAAAAGGAATGACATAAAAAATATTCATATCAATTCTTTTTTTAAAATGACTCGAAATATATTGCCGACCATACCCTCCATGTTAATGTAACGATCATAAAAATATATAAAAACTCATCAAAACAACACCATTTGTTTTTGTCTACCAATAAACCTTCCTAATTAACAACTATTTTTATTAGAAATACAATAATTCAAAATTTTAAGATAAAATAATAATAAATAAATAACTAATTGAAAAATAGGATAAAAAAATACGGACATCCCTTGAGTTTTGACAATATTATACGGACACTCTCTGATATTTTATAAATAACACGAAAATCCCCTGAAGTTTGAAATTTATTGCACAGAGACCTCCTCTGTCTCTCTTCCATCAATGTTACTAACGAAAAGTTATGATTTTTATCCCAAATTTTTTTATTATTTTTACAATTGCCTTTCTCCAACTTTAGTACACAAAAAAATTTAAAAAATTAAAAAAACAAAATAATATTTGATTTAGTACCCAAAAAATTGATTAACTGAATTTTAATATTAATTTGATAACAACAAAAATTAATTTGATATTAATTCGACAACGTTGAATATAAATTAGATAAAATTAAATGTCAATTTTTGATAAAATTATATATTAATTTACAATCTAAGGTTCATTTTGTTTTGAATATTATTTGTTGTTGATTAAATCAACATGAAATTAACTTTAAATTATAATTTTTTTTGTTGTACATAAACTTAAAAATTTATATTTTAACTCCTAAAATTTAAATACATATTTTTTTTTATAGCATAGCATCTTCCCTCTTATTATATAATTTGATAAAAAAAATTTTGGTTAAGATTCAACCACACATACTTAAATAAAACCAATTGCTCATCCCCCACTTTTTTTTTTTAAGAGAATCGCTCACCTCCACTTAATAAACTCAAAAATCTCTGATTCACATAAAATACGTGAAAGTAAATTAAAAAGTTAACAAAAAATTTTAAAAAATTGATAGTTCGAAAAAATTTAAAAAATTTAGTACCAAAAAAATTGATAATATTGTCAAAAATATAATATAAAGTCAATTTCGTGTGTTATTTGATCAATAACAAATAATATTTAATTTTTTCAAATTAATATTCGACTTTGTCGAATTAATTTTAAATGAATTTTTATTGTTATCGAAGTAATATTGAAATTCATTTAATCAATTTTTTGAGTAATAAATCAAATTATGTTTGATTTGATTAAAATTTTAATTTAATTTTAATTTTTTGATACTAAATTTGGAGAAGGACAATTATGAAAATAATAAAATTTTTTGGGATAAAATCATCACTTTCCGTTAGCAACATTAATAGAAGGGAGATGTAGGTGGTTTTCGTGTAATGAGTTTTAAAGCTCGGGAGGTCTTCGTGTTCTTTGTAAAATGCCAAAGAGTATCCGTGTAGTATTGCTAAAATTCAAAGGGTGTCCGTGTTTTTTATCCAAAAAAATAATGTGAGAAAACTGTCAAAATGACTTAAAAATCCTGTCTGGTAAAACTTCTAGAACGATGAAAACCCGCCCACATAATTCTAAAAGACAATAAAAAAATATCAAATTTCATATCTCAATCATCGCCCACTCACACCCACACCTAGACTCACAAAAGAGAAGAATGAAAACACATAAAATATAACAAATAGAGCAAACATTAAAAAAAAACTACAAAATAATCTATATAAAAAACATTGTTAAGGGAAATTCTAGAGGAATTTAGACCTTGAATCAATTAAGACCTAATTTTCAGGTAAAGATGTGAAACTCAGATAAAAAAATCGTCAAATCGTGAAAAATGTGTGCTATTTTTTATTTACAAATAAGAAGTAAGTGACAAAATATATGTCGTTAGATATATAAAACTTTGAATTAGTTTCATAGAATAAATAATTGCAAATGAAACTATGGAGTAAATAATAATAAAAAAATGACATAGGAAGAACAAAAAAAAAGATAATGTTAAGAGAGAGAGAGAGATAGAAGTCTTAAAAAAATCTTACATGAGGACTGTCGGATCAATAATTCTCAAGCGATTTAAACTGTGAAAAGTTCAGGACAAACTTTTCTAACTAGTTTATTATATAGAAATGATATTATCATTATGAAATACCTCTAATCTTCAATATGGTTTTGTTGCATTTTCTCTATAAATTATGTAATATTTCAACTTGCTAAATATACTAAAAAATAATAATTAAATTAATGTAGGGTTTAAAATTATATGCACCTATATTGTTTATTGAAACGAAATATATCATGATGGAGTTTAAGACTTCTTGGGAATAAATTGCGAAAAATAGGACTTATTTGTCCCAATAAAAAAGAATATGACTTCATGTTTTTTTGTGTGAAAAAATATGACTTATTGGTGGTTTTTCTAAATAATTTTGGATATTATATATTTTTTTTGTCTAAAGACAATATAACATATATAAATTTACTTTATTTTATTTTTCTCTTTATTCAATTCTTTCGTCAACAATGACTATACATAACTCAATTTAAAATCTATGGCTGGAAAATAATTTTTTAGTGCGACATCAAAAAATAATTTTCATATACAATATTTCTTTATTATTTTATTTTTCCCTTTTGCAAGAGTACTTCGAGTAGTAGATACCTCATTGTACTTGGACAAATTTGAGATTTGCAATCCTCGGTTGTGCTAACTATGGCTATGATGTCGGAAATAGATCATTTTTCTAATATCTTTCAATTTGGATTAGCAAAAGCATTGTCTCTTTCCATATATAAGAATTCTAAGCATTCATGACGTGGTCTAGATATAAATGAGTTTAATTACTTATCTCCGGTCATAGATTGTCTATAACAAACGAGTAGGCAAACACCTTTTTTTTTTTAAACAAGTAATACTATTATAAATAAACAAGAATGTTATTTATATTCAATCGAGATATCTCAAATTAAATATAAATAATATTCTTATTTAAGAAATGATCTCCTCCCCCTATAATAAGGTAGTTCTCAAAATCTTTCATTACCCTCGAAGAGAATTGAATCCTTGTTTTTTACGTAAATAAATCATGAAAAGATCAATTGACACTACTAAACTAGTCAACCATCTATATACAAGCAAGAAGCCCCCGTAAGAATAATGAATTTGACTTGACCACATAGTATTTGATTTCCTATTAAAAAAAATTAATTAAAATTACAATGAATCTAACTGAATCCATTTCTTAGCAAATGTAATTACCATCTCACATGTCTCTCTCTCTCTCTCTCTCTCACACACACACACACACATTTTAGCTTAGCTTAGCTTAGTAGAATATTCAAGGGCACTTGGGCTTGCCCTTGGAGTTCCTCATGTCTCTATAGCAAGGGCATTGATGCTTGTTCCCATAAGTCCCAGAAGGAACACACTTGCACTTTGAACAGCATATTCCACAGTATGTCAAGCATCGATCCATCACCCCAGCCTTCTTGCACCTTGCTTTGCACTTTCGATCACAAAACACTTCACACCACCAAAAACCAAAAAAATGGTAAGTCCCCATGACAACACTACTTATCATGCAACATAAAAAAGAGTCTCCACTACCCTGTTTAAAAAAAGTTGCAATGCAATCGAGATATGTCGTAAGGAGTTCGCTGCTATGGTCAATCAATAGGTCATTTTTGACCTTCTTTTCCGTCCTAAAGTTTTGGGTTGGACCAGATATTTAAAAATTTGGACTTTGAACGCATATTTAAACACCCTTTTTTTTTTTGATAAACCATGAAAGCCTCAAGTCCGAAAAGCTCAAAAACTCATTTTTCTAGTAATTCTGCTTAAACTCACTCTCTAGTATCTCCCAAATGGGTCAAAATAACGAGTCTCAAATTTTTTAGGAATAATCTTAATCGACCCCATTAAGCCATATGTTTGAACACATTTGAATTTTGATTTGATTCGATTAATTCATAAATTTAAATACACTAGTGAAAAATAACTTTCAAAACTATAGTTTTTTCTACCAAATAACAAATTAAATTTGGATTTACAACTCAATTTGAGTCATGTCACAGTTGCAAAATGTTAAGTTATCATTAAAAAAAGTAGGACTAAAAATAAAATGTTAATATCTACATCTACCGAAATATTTGCTATTTTAAGATCGATTCCTCACACAATTTTTTTTTTTTTTTGTAATATCATTAGATTGAATCGTAACCTACTCTTATGTTGTAGTAACTTTTGAAATGGTACCAAAAGTAACCTTCAGTTTCATAATATTTTCCTATATATACTATATTCTTTTGAATGCATATACACATTTTATCAAAACTAATATCCAAGAAGAGAAGGCTATTATTACCTGACTTGGCCATGGAGGATTCAATGAAAGAAGTGCCAAGGAGAAGAGCAAGGAGTAACATAGTGGCAAAGAAGAGCTTCTTCATCTTGCTGTACTTTTCAATGAGACTTGCAGAAACTGAGAATGAGTTGAAAGTGAGAAAGAGAATGGGTATAAATAGATGAGTTTAACCCTTACCAGTAGCCGTTAAATCTGGTATTTGGTAACTCAGAAATTCGAGATTCAATCTCTTTCCACACTTCTTAAGAGTTAGTCGCTCTTGATCTCTAAAGACATAATTTAACCCAAGTCAAATCACAATAGTAGGCGTTAAACTTGAGGGAATAGTAAGTACAAGGTTAGACACATGTAACAAAAATAAAAAATAAAAGTGAGTTAAATGTGAGATTACACATGTTTTAGTGGACATGACAGCCTTGCATTAAGGTTGAACACGAGGTTTCTGCAGCTGAAAAGGTTGCTAGCAGCTTCTGGCACGATATCCCGTCATGTTATAAATTTTTGTTTTGATTGATTTAAAAAAAAAAAAAAACACGTGTCACAATTTTATTGAATGAAAAGTCACAGATATGATACCGAAAAATTATTTTCGACATCTTCACCGGATGTTCTGTATATATGGTTTTCCATTGATACTGAACTTGCCCATTCGTGACAGAAGGGGAATTTATTCTGGGTCCAATGTTATGAATAAAACCAAAGAAAACTTCTAATGGAGTGGGACACTTTGGAACCACCACATCACATGTTGAAATAAAATTGGCAGATATGCTGACCCATTAGGTAGGTGGGATGACATGAATATAGTACTTAATAAATCATGAAAAGATATGTGATTGGAATAACACTGAGTTGTGAAATACAAAAACTTACAGTAGTACAGTTAAGTTTTTTTTTTTTTTTTGGTAACGTGAAAAATCCTTGATCTGTCCTGCTGAGCAAAGGCGTACTAATATTGCGCAGGCTTGTGAGTCCGAATGGAACTAAGGGCAAACCCCGAGTTCATGGATCATCCCTCAACTTATACATCAATTAAATCAAAACTTGCGCTTCGGTGAAAATTCGAACTCACACTAGAGACTTGGATATAGTTCATTCAAACAACGGAAATCCGTCCAACCAACCAACCAACCACGCTTTTTGTTGTCCAAAAAATTTGAACCTTTGATCTTAAGAAGAAAAAACTTTTAAAAGACAAAAGAGTACTGATTGAAATATTACAATTAAATTACTACTTTTGAAAAATGCTATACAAACACTTCAACCTATACAATAAGATAACTATGTTTTTGAACTTATGGGGGTTATATTTTCCCCCCAAAATTTCACCCACTCCCCCCCCCCCCCCCGCCCCCTCCCATCCCCCAAATTTCACAAACCTAACACAAATACTCTACAACACAACTACACAAACTTCAACACACTCATTATATATACACACATATTATATACACAATTCAGCTATACACACTTCAATACATGCATAGAATTATAGTTTAGTATACAGTGACTTCAGTCACGAGGTACCGCTAGTGATTGAATATGCTAGGAAGCCATGCAATTGCATAGAGCACTCATAAGCAGCTTGTCTAACCTTGGTAGTAACTTTGGTGAACAGCTTCAAAGTATCTTTTACAAACATACCTTTCATAAAGCATTATGACTCAATAGGACCTTCTAAAAATTTTAAGTCACATTTATGGAGCCACAGGAATAACATCAAATGATATTAAAAAAAAAAAAAAAATCTGGTTCCCAAATTCCACTTGCATAGATAGAAAACTTGGGGCACAAGTAAAAACGCGTGCGCACAAACATAGCATAAAACCCACACTACTCTAACTAGAAGGGAAAAAAAAAAAACTCTAACTAGAAGGCAAAATACAATATTTTCTATTTATTAACTTATAGCACATGATTTGGAGAGCAAAATGGACAGAAATTGAAGTGGTTTGTACAGAAAGCTAAACGTTCGACACAGCAAACTTGACTACCCAACTACCCTATTTAGGGGTATATATGTATGTACCTGTCTCCCACAAAATGATCTCAGAAGAAATGATATGTTTAACATTAACAGCAGCAAAGACAACCTGCATATTCCTAATTATAAACAACTGGTCTTTTCAGTCTCCTTCAAACCAGAATACATGATAGTGTAATATTTCAATCATCAGATGTTGAGGATCCAACTCCATTGAACAAGTCATGGCAATCCAAATCCAAGAAAGAAATTCATTTGTATTTCTATATTGAAATATTGTCGCAAACTTAAAGTTATACACGCAAGGGTTCAACAAAAATCCTGGGTGTATACTAATATACAATATGATTGTGTATGTTAAAGTTATGTGTTGAGTTAAAATTATGTGTACAGTCAGACCTGGAATGTTGGAAAGTCCTGACCGAAGAACCAATATGCAGCAGGTATGAGTTCAGGAACCGGTCTCTTCAAGCCGGAGATAATGTGATGTAAACTAACATATCCCAGATCCGCAACAGGTAGGAGTTTTACGCACTGGGTACAATCTTTTTTTAAGGTTAACATTGTATTTACAACTGAGTTACGAACATCAGCCTCCCATACTGGAAAACGCGTGAGAATGCCGACTGTGAGAGTATTCCTCATCATAGTCACCGGATGCCAGCAAATTCACCTGGAGATCATACATAGATAATTTCAGGGATCTTGAGGAAAGTTTGCATTATTCAACAATGTAAAAAAGGATGATGCATGACAATAACCTTAACAATTTCAGAGTTTGAGCTTGGACGTATATAGGCTGCTAAGATACTCATGTTGAAATCCTGGGAGCAAGAAACAACAAAATTATTTAATTCCTGACGACAAAAAAGTCCTAATACAGTGATCCACCATTATTGTACTTGCAGAGAAAAAGATAACAGAAAATGGAAAATTTCAGTAAATTCTCCATATTTGCCAGCAATTCTCAACAATAAATTCAAATAAAGCTGATTAGCTTGCAATGGTTCATCCTTTACTCAAAGAAAAGTAATTTCTGCTTGTTATTTATACACTGATCCTGCATGAGGGTCCACAGTTCTCATCCCTTAAGTCGGGGTTGAGTCATACAAAAAATGACCTGCCCAACTTGCTAAGTTGCACACATTCAAGTTTGTTATCTTGTCATGATATACCAAACAAATATTAAATTGTTACAGTGTTTATCTTTGGAATAACAGACACTGAGAAACCAGGCTGATTATTTGAAAAATAACATGACATTAACCCAAAGGCAGCAATTGCCCAGCCCCGCACCAAGCAAATTAACCTGTATAATATAAGCATCGAGGCGTTTTTATGCTTTGGAAATACAAGCAATGGTTTATTCTTGGAAAGTTCAACAACTACCATGTTTGCAATCATTACAATGAGATGCAATGGAAAAGGGAGAATATAGATTGCCTGCCACTGTTTTTAAAGTTACTTTAAAAAAAAAATTCCCATAAAGGAGGGGGAGCAGGGTTGCAGGTTCCCCAAACACGAAACAAGAGACTCCCAAATTCTTCCTCATCAACCTCTCCTTTAAGAAGAAAAAGATAAATTCAGAGGCCAAAAAAAAAAAACATAAGTCAGGGTATGTAAAACTCACTCTAAAAGGATCACCCCTCAAAGATTGCACAAACATTGAGGCCCCTGAACGTTTACCCTGTATAAAAGCAAACAAATACCTACTTCATTAAACTATTATTGACCAATAACAATAATACCAAAACATATGCAGATATGTAGCACAAGTTAACATCTTGCCCCAATGACTGGTGCTGCATCAGCACCTCCCTTTCTGTTGCCTGCAATCACTTTTCTGGCATTTAACAATCATGCCCCACATTACTTTTTATCTAGCGTTGGCTCCGTGATCACTAACCTAGAGGCATTTGTTCTCATTTGAATGTTTCTCGCACTTCAAATTTAGAGGATGTATAATGCTCGCCCATTTCTAGGTACTACATGCCATGCATCATGCTGCACTACAGGTGGAAATAGAGACATGAACATTAATATCAATTTACCTCCAACGGTACATCCCTGAGTCGCCTCCCCGTTTGAGCACAGCATACACGGACTACTTGTTCATCACAACTTCCACTGATAATATAGTCTCTTCCATTCAAGTAATAAGAACGAGTGTAATTTTGAGAACTTCCAGTTGAAGGTATGCCATAGTCCAGATGGAGCCTTCCATCGACAGCCAATAGTTGTTTAACCTGATAACATTGCCCGTTACTCTCAACAGAATACCAATCAAAGCAAAACGTGATAAGAATTTTGAGTTGAGACAAAGTAACCGCTAGTACATCAATCAAAATAATGCACACCAGGACCCTGTCTTATCAAGTCTGGTTCCCATCCACAGTAAGTGTCTATCTCTAATAACACTTTCAACTTTTAAAAGCGTACATGATGATATTAAAACAGAGAACCATTACTAGTAATTCAAATAAACAAAAGAAGAAAGCATTGTTAAAGTAAAAGCTGGAAAAGCTATAAGCTGGTTAGCCTAGAAATATATTTTCCCTCAGGTATTATTCAACTATCTCTATTTAACATTATCTCATAATTTTTCTTCTTCTTTTCCCATTTGTACTAATCTTAGTCCTCCATGTTGGTGTTTTCGAGAAATTATGATGTGATGTATGCATAACCACAAAGTAGAGTGCTCGCGACAACTTAAATGACATAAGAGTCATGGAAAGCAGAATGACATTAGATGTTGAGACCAAGGTTGTCAAAACTTGTATCGGAATGGGTATCATTCTTCAAAAATAATGTATGGTAACGTATCGTATATCATAAGGTACGCTCAATATATACATCTACATATGGACACACACATGCGTACCCAAAAACATGTAAATATTTGGTATCCAAAGTAATATAAATTTTCCTGCCTTCTCCAGAAAGAGTCTTCTCTCCCATCAGTAAGATACGGCAAGCAATAAATACCATTTCAACTCACTTATCATTTCAAGATATTCATATTTCCGATGGAAATCAAAATAAGAGACAAATGTCTGTTTGAAGGAGAAGAAGAATTGGATTGAGGAGAAACAAAAGAAGGTAACAGGACTCTGATTCTCCTTCTACTCTCAGGGACACTAGGAAGCCGTCTCTGGATTACCTGTTACACAGTGCTGGTCTCATGGAAACCTGCACTTGTGTATGGTGCAATCGATAGAAGTTCCATCATCTAAACATTGCACGCTCCTCTGTTCCCTTAGCCCTTAGTTTTCTTCATGTTTAGGATGGTGTTGTGTAATATTTAGACGCGCCATATAACATTAATTGCTTAGCAAGCTCTAAACAATTGTGGTTTGGCATAAGTTCAAAGTAACAATATCATGTCTTTCGCAATAATTTGAGCATAATTACTTGGATTGTATTGAATCTATTGTGTGCAGTTTAATTATTTGTTACGCTACAACTTTGCTGAGAGGTACCTCAAGGTTGGTTCTAATGTATTTGCCCATATTATCAGCGAAATATTCCATTCAAAGCTGAGATTGTGATATGTCCAAAGCTGTAGACCCAAAGTTCAACCCAGTCCCCGTTATTGGATTAATTCAGCATATAGATGCATAAGAGTTTTAAAACATGAAAAAAAAGCCTTTTAACTCATATTCTTAGAGTTACCTCATTGTCAACGGCTGACACAAGAAGATAGTGGTCATCTGGTGAAAAGCAAACCATCACATTTCCTCGAGAGCTTGAAGCTGTGTAACAAGCCTGAATTGGTTTGTGTCTTAAATCCCACATCTTTACGTCCTGGTCAAATGATGAAGTAGCAAAAATGGAGGGGGAATGGTTTGCAAACTTCACAACATTAATATGCTCTCGATGCATATCAGTGAACACCTGCATGCGTCTTCCGCTGCTGATGTCATACAAAGCAACATGTTTTGAGTAACCGCTTGCAATAAAGAGCTCATCTGTGGAGTTAACATGAACAGATGTTAACTGGTCAAAGTCATCAAAGGTAACAGAACCAGCATTGTGATCGATGCCTCTTGTTGCTGAAGGAATGTGCCGAATATCATACAACTTAAGTGAACCGTTGTCAGAACCAGCAATGAGCTGAAATATACACCCCCACCCACCCCCAATGAGGGTGGAAAAAGAGATGAAAAAAAAAATCAGTGAACACATTACTAAAGGATTCAGCGACACAAAAAGAAAATAACCCGATATATTCACCTACTTTTCTGTAAGTGATGTATTGTGAAGGAAAATTTCAGGGAAATAAATTCTAATTCCAGGGGCATTTTTTCTTATGGTCAATGGAAAACCAGTTCTTGAGAGAAGTAGAAGTTCAATGTTGTAAAATTCTACTTGCCAATATCATCCCAGTTATAACAGCTTAAATGTAGTACATTTTTCAGGCCATGCCTATGGATGGACCGTAATGAGCTAATGCTACAGTCTCATATAAATGCTTTACAAAAATGATAACATTTTGGCAGCCTTGCAGAAGTTCAATGGGTAATCCATAGCACAAGATGTTGATCATGGATAATCAAATTAATCGTATCTCGACTCGAAGAAACATCTGTGCATTCTCAGTGACGTGGTGTCCATCATGCATCATAAAATTCCACCTTCATTTTTACCCTCCGACTACCTTGGATGTATTTTACTATTTTTAAGTTATCTCAGTTGAAAAAAACAAAAAAAGTCAACAACCATACATCAACAAAGGTCATATTCCTGCATTTACCATCACCACTTCTGCATTTTAACTAAATTACACCAGGGGTACAACCAAACACCCCAAAGGTAAGACAACAAAGCATGCTCGAATTAAACACATTAAGACAAGTGATAAAGATGCAGCACCATGATGATGACGATATACAACTTTCACTTAAAAGGCCTCACGTATAAAATTGTAGGTTAACACACCTTGGAAGGGCACTTTTTTAGCCAACATAACCCCAGAACACTATTCATTGCTCCAAGTGATGGGATGTAACCAACAATTTTCTCACTCTCGTGGTTTACAACAACAACTTCACCATCCAGAGTTCCAAAAACCATAAGGCTTGAGTCAGATGGATGGTACTCAAACTGCCGTGGACGAAAACTTCTACAATCATCTCTTGGTATGCTGCCAAAAATAGAAAGAGGGTGCAAGATAGGACATGCAGAAGAACCTACTTTGGCAGCACAAAGTGACCTGGTATAAAAATAGTGTGATTTCCCTGAGGTGTTTGACAACTCGCCCCTTGAAGTGTGCATGCGAGTACAGCTGGCTCTGATTTCACGCTTCTGCAAGACACTAACAACACTCTCTTTATTCTTCCTTTTGTATGGGAGGTACTCAAAGTGTCGTGAAAAGATGTCATTGGCCCTATCTCTGTCAACGCTTGTAATGGGCAAGTTATCAAGAATTTTCAGTTTGGGCAGTGAAGCTATCAGGTACTCTCTATAATGTTTCTCATAGCATATTGGTGAAGGGTGACAAGAAAAATATTTCTTCGGAGCAATATGTGAGATATGTCTTGAATTAGAAGAACTAGGTAAGACCTCTTCTTCATCTTGCATTCCCCATGTGTCAAAACAAATCTGCTGGGGAGAGGAGTGAGAAAAAATTGAATACCATGAGAAACTGATAATTTCAAAAAGCCATTTCATATAGCATTATAAGAAAGATATTTATCTATTGTAATGCAGACATAATGACATCACGGTACAAGAAAATAAAGAGCAAAAAAGGAAAGAGTAATAATATCAACGAAGTGTTTACACTCTAACTTGTTAAACACCATCCTTTGTCAGAATCCTACAGACAATCCTAAATATACAGATTGACTTGATAATATTAAAAAAATCTATATCTTGGTACAAAAAAGGAGAAACCAATTTCTGTTGAATTTTCTCACTGCCAGAATCCAATAAATAGGACCATCTGTATACCTCATTGTGCAGATCAACCAGTACATCAGGCAAAAGTTCTCCCAAACTGAAATCTCGACGTCGACGTGAAAAGCCCACATCACTGTCATCGGATGAATCCTCCGAGGTGCTCATATCATTGCCTTCTGAATCAGTACTGCCAATGGCCTTCCCACCAGCTGATGATGGGTAAGGCCCTGTGTCATCGCAGTCTGAAAAATTTTGAAAGCGTAGTTCCTCCAAAGAAGGGAGTTTAGCTAATGCTGCACTAGTTGTCCAGAGATTAGAAATTCTTGTCTCACAAAATGAGAGGCACTTCAGATTTGGCATACAAATGAAACAATTCTCCCGGAAACTAGTGAGTGAAGCACTGAAATCCAGGTTAAGTGTATGCATCTGGATGAACTCCCCAATCATGTTGAGCTTTCGGAAATGTGAAGACCTCAAGTTCAGGACTTGGCATGTTAAGCCCCTCTGAGAGAGATCCCTAAAGGTGAAAAGCGGAAGGTAGTGAGTTCGGGTCATATAACAAATCTAGCTGATGAACACATCTCAAATGTTATCATGCTTATCTAACCGCACATAAAAAAGGGAAACAGCTTTGCATGCATCATATGGAAACAATACAATACTCAACTTAAATAGGAAAAGAACCAATTAATTAGCAATCATGAAGTAGTTAATAAGCGAACAATTGTCAAAAAGCAAATGACGAATGAGAAGGTATGAGTCAACCAAAAAGATAAAACTTTCTACTCAAAAAGAAAAATGTCATCGGTGCAGAAATAAACAACTAGTATCAGACTTTACTGAAAAACAGAAGTCACTTTACGTACAGCAAGAAATCCTTTCCAAATGATGCATCCTGTAGATCGACAACTCGAAGCTTTTGATTGATAGCACGCAGCAACGACAAAACATGTTCTCCATTCAAGACACATGATGATCTATGCAGTATGTCAACTGCGTTGATCTCAGAAGCATCAATTTCCATGAAAAGATCAAGAAGCGGATAGAAATCAGCATCCTTTAAGTCGTCCAAGAATATCACCAGGCTACAAACCTCATGGTGGCCTTTCTTGTGGTTGGCCTGAGTTATAAGACAAAAATACCTAATCAAATTTGATTTCTATTCATCGATAAAAAAGAAATACAACAGTTAACTCTAAAAATCCCAGAAAAAGTGTGATTGACATCCTAGTTTGTAACAAGATAAAGAAAAGATGTGATTGAAGTTATTGAATATTCATTGGTAAATATAATCAAGAGAGCTCTAATCATCTTATTTAATTTTCATTTGCTATGCGAAGAGAGAGGAAGAGCACATTCATTGTGTAGAGACTACTGGCCAAGTATCCCAAAAATTTTGGACAGATTCCTGCACTAGGTGCAGAAATACTTTTGTCATTAAAACCACATTCACAAAGGACATTTGACAAAAATCTAAGCATTCCCTTTCTCTTATAATATATTGCTCCAAAATCATGCAAGGAATTTTCACTATTTTTCTTTCTTTTTATTTAAAAAGAAAGCTCTAAAACCAAAGAAATGGAATTTATAGCGCCAACCCCATTTAGAAACAAGAAACGCCAGAAGCAGAATTGCAAAAGGGCTACTGATGGTTCCCCCAGACTATATGATTGCATGGATAACTCCTGGCTTCATGACTCATCTATGTCCAACACTTTCAAATTGTTCTTAGTTCAATCCAAAGCTAGATCATGCTGAAGAAACTAGTAATAAGAAGCAACTAATGCCATGCATCTTCTTATTCACAACACATGGTAGACAGATGTAAGGGCAACTACAATCATGGCTAACCTTGGCTATAGCCAACAGAACTGCTTTATTGGGTAGAAGTCCATGCCTCCCACAAGAATCAATGTACCTAGAATGGAGACCGAGAGTAATTAAGAAACATTGAGGAAACACATTGGCATTGGAAAGATAATCATTAATCCAATTAACACATATATTAACAAGAAAAGGCCAACTGACTGTTGGATGAATTTACTCTATTTAACTTTGGATGAATTTACTCTATTTAACTTTCTTTCCTCGGATATGCAAGTATGCAACCATTTCAGGCATTCATATAACCATCTTACTTGTTTATGTTCTTAATTTCTATGAATATGTACTTACTACTAACTTCAACTCATTGACGTCATTAAAGCAGTAACACATGTCAAATTTGATTTTGTTTACAGAAAATAAAATTTTACTTTTTGAAACTCAAGGTAGCGAAGCCTTTTCCAGGGATAGACTTGACATATTGTTCATGTCGATGCGTTTTAAGGCCAAAGACAGAGGTTTAAAACCGAAGTTGACCATATAACCTCATGTCACACTTCCACAAGTTTACCATAACAAATGCTTCACATGTCATGAACTGTAAAAATAAGACAAAAGGTTAGGATTGAATAGGTTCTAATCCAATAGTTGGGGTAGAAATAAGTAACTGAGTTGAATTCGAGCTGAAAGTATTTCAAGACATGCACACTTTGTTTGTGTTTGTATGTATGTGTAGAGAGTGAGAAAGAGGGTATTTCTAGACCCCCATTATAGTAGAAAGTTATAAGAAAACTTGAGTCTCCAATATAACAAAAATTGTGTAATCAATTACTAATATAAAGGGAGAGTAAGAGTTTGTATCTTGGAATCTTCTCTCGTTAATTGCTTGCTAACTTCGACTCCTACTCGTAAAGAAAAACACATCTAATTACCTCTATTAAGCATCAGCTCTATCTCTTACAATCTCTTCCTCTTCTCGATATCTAAAAAGAACTTGTTAATTCAAAACACTTTCAAAAAGTTTTAAACATTACAAATGCTTAAATTTCACACATACATTGTGTGCCAACTGCTACAATTTTGGGTAGGTATTAATGCCACAAAGGATTTTCCTATCATTTGTTTCTACAGGCTTGGTGGTTCTTTTAGTCTGAAATTTTATTGCACATCCATTTAGTTAGCAATTACATAGAATCGTATACAGTGTCACATCTTCGTGCACATGCACATTATAGTTAGTCCAATTGACAATTTGAAATCATTCTAAATCTTACCCTCCAACAATAGCTAAACTTACAAAATGGCACCATTCATGCATTTTGTATCCATAATCTCCATACCACTTTTTAATGATAAAATGATGAGCAAACCCGAAGTAAGAGGTGAGGGATGACCCAGTAGATAGGACTCACTCCTGCCTATATGTGGTTGTGGGTTCCAACCACATTCCCTTCCCATCCCTCTCCTCCTTAACCAACCCCCGCCCCCCTCCCCCCAAAAAAAAAAAAACAAAGTAATCACAATGATCACTGAAAGGGGGTGGCTCCCTTTACTACACGTGTCATGGCACTAAAAAGGCTCATGTGAGAATGACAAGACAAAGCATGTGATGAAGACATCAGTCACTCGTTCAATAGACCGAAGCTGAGCTGTTCGATGAGAATGGAAGGAGGTCGGTCCTCATTGCAACCGAGCTGTTTCAAATAGTAAAACAAAGAGCAAAATTTGCCTATGACTCTGGAATCCAAAGCCTATAACTCGATCGAAGCACTTCGATCTTGGATAGTTTGCTCGTTTTGCACGAAAAAAAGACTGGGATTTCAAGTTCAGAAGTGCTCTTTACCAAAAATACCAAATCATATTTCAGTGTGTGAGATAATCTCACTTTTTGCCTCTTACATTTTTTGGCGCCATCTGTGGGAAGATTTTCATCAATCGAAACGAATAGCCACAATGTCAAGACTTAGAAGTGCCATTGGATCACCAGTAAGCAGTTTTGCCTTGGAGAATTCTGATCCGAATTATAGAGTGTCACTTCCATCTGATAGCGACGTTAGATTGCATATGGCCAAAAGCCTGACTGGACCCCGTGAGGATGACGAGATATCCTCAGCAAGTTTCAAACCATCCAGAAACCAGAATCGGCCTGGCGAAGATCATGATGAATCCCTCTGTGCCGAGGGGGAGAACCATTCCTTGGCAAAGTTGGTCTAATTCCTATAAGACCGACTTGATGCGTATGACAAATTATTCAAGAAATTCTATGCCAGGGAAAAGATCTAATAAAAGAGAACGAACAATTGAAAGCCAGGCTGAAGGAGATGACTAAGAAAGAGAAACGTGAAAGGGAAAGCCGACGAGAAAGTCCCGAAAGGAAACCTGACAGAACCAAAAATGTTGACGATGATAAATACAACCAGAAAAGACCTCGGGTCATAGAGAAAAACTCCCGGAAATAGTTCATCACCGAAGAACTTAACAACCGTCTAAAGAGACTCGAGCAGAAATCGGCTAAGGACTTGGCTAGAAGAGCAACAGGAGAATATGGAGACGGTTCGAAATTCTCACCATTCACACAGTGGATCGAAAAGGGGCAAATCTCGAGCACATTCACGGTCCCAAACTTCAAGTTGTATGATGGAAAGGCCGATTCATCCTCCCACATCAGACATTACAGGCAGTTGATGACCATACATCGGAGAAACGAGTGGCTGTTCTGCACCATCTTTCCCAGCAGCCTTGGGGAATCGGTCATAAAATGATTCGATAGCTTGCCAAAAGATACGATAGACGGATGATCACAATTAGCCGAGCAATTCACAGCTCAGTTCATTACAACCAGTAAACAGGTCAAGCATGTCGGGGCTCTACTGACACTGAAGAAGCGAAGTAATGAGACTTTGCAAAAGTACGTTCATCATTACTGGGAGACAATGAATGAAGTGGAGGCTTACAACCCCGAGATTGCAGTTGCATTCTTCAAAATTAGGTTACCAAAGGAGAACCCGATATACCAATCTCTTACCAGAAGGCTTGCCACAGACCTGGAAGAGATGATGGCGAGAATCAAGAAATATGCAAAAGTCGATGATGACTTATCCAAAGACGTGGGGAAGGATCATCAAAGCAAAAGGCAGTTTGGACGTGATAAGCAGACCGAACCAAGCAAAAAGGGGGGAGAGAAGAAAGAGAAGGAAGGATTTCCCCTGAAGTCCCCCTTTATTAGGGTAAATATAGTATTCAAAGATTCGATATATAAGATATTGACTCAGATCAAGGGGAAGCCATTTTTCAAGTGGCCCAACAAGCTAACAAAAGATCCTTCAAAAAAGAATCTTAATTTCAGGAGCTCATATCGTCGAAATGTAGGACACATGACCAAAAACTGCCGATCTTTGAAGTAGCACTTGGAGGAGCTGGTCCAAGCTGGACATCTTGCTGAATTCATTGAGGGTGGAGCTAGAGCCGAGGGAGGAAGAACTGACCCACGAGGAGACCAGACCATAGCTGCAGGTGTAATAGATGTGATTCATGCTACAACGAATTCACAAATGGCAACGAATAACGCTGCTAGGGCATACATTCAGAGAGCCGAAAAAGAAAGAGAAGTTTATCAACTACAACTAACCTCAGAAGTTAGAAGTAAAAGGATTAAGGTGGAAGAATCAGCTGAGGTCACTTGCTTCACTGAGCAGGATTTGGTCGAGGTACATCAGCCGCATAACAACGCGTTGGTGGTAACGCTTCGAATTACAAATTACAATGTGAAAAAGGTACTAATTGATCCAGGGAGTTCCTCGAAAATCACGTATATGAATCTATTTGAAAAGCTTGGACTCAAACAAGAGGATCTTAAACCACCTAATACTCCACTAATCGGCTTTAGTGAAAAAACAGTTCTTCCTAGGGGAGGATCACACTTCTCGTGAATACTAGACCAGTCGTAGTCATGACCGAATTTCTGGTGGTGGATACAGTCTCAGCATACAATGTAATTATGGGGCGATCTTGGCTGCATGAGATAAAGGTCGTACCATTAACATACCACCAAATGCTGAGATTTCTATCATCTGAAGGAATAGTGAACATTAAAGGAGACCAAGTAAGTTCCCAGACTTGTTTACTGGCTTTGGTCAAAACCAGAGACGGAGTAAAGGTTTGAGAGAAAAGATCAACAGCCGAGGACTCAAAATAGCAACTAACCCTCGATAGCTCGGCTGATTCCACCGATCGAACTGTTATAAAAAATCCTAAAGTACCTTTAGGCACAAAGAAAGAAGTTACCGACTGAACAGTGGAAGACTTGTCACAAAGACGAAGATCAGGACAAATATATTTTGTTGGGAGCGTCTCTCAGTCCCGAACAGCAAAATGAACTCATCACCCTACTCATAGAATATTCTGACGTCTTCGCTAGGAGCACGAGTGAAATGCTCGGCATACCGTCCGAAATGACATGTCATCGATTGAATGTGGACCCTACCTTCAAGCCAGTCAAACAAAAGTTTAGGAGATCGGCACCCCAACATCAGGAAGCAGTAAAGGAAGAGGTTGCACGCTTGTTAGAGTCTCAAACCATCAGGAAGGTTCAATACCTGACCTGGCAGTCGAACACTGTTGTAGTCAAGAAGAAGAACGGTAAGTGGAGGGTCTGTGTGGACTTCACCGACCTCAATAAAGCATATCCAAAAGACAGCTTTTCCTTACCAAAGATATACCAGCTCGTTGATGCGACCGCCGGGCACAAGCGAAGGAGCTTTTTGGACGCATACAGAGGATATCACCAGATCTCACTTGTCGAAGAAGACCAAGAAAAGACAGCGTTCATAACACCAGAAAGGATATACTGTTATAAAGTAATGTCTTTCGGGTTAAAAAAAGGCCTGAGCAACCTACCAGAGGTTAGTAACAAAGATGTTTTCTCACTTGTTGGGCAACACTATGGAAGTTTACATAGATGATATGATGGTTAAAAGTCGAAAAGTCACTAGTGTCACGGGGTAACTTCCGTTTTTCTTTCGAGGCTACCTGTGAAGGCGTTGCTATTGCAACCAGCCACACACAAACTCAAGACTAAGGGACAAAAACTCA